TTCTAGTTCACTCCATACCCACATCAGCCAAGTCCTGCTCATTATTATTGTCTTCCATCATTTCCAGACCCAATTCCTGGTTTTCTGAGACAGGGTCTCATGTAGCCCAGGCTGGTCTTGAACTAACTATATATGAGGATGACCTTGAGCTCCAGCCTCCTGCCTCCACTTCCCTGGCACTATGACAATAAGCGTGCAACACTGTATCTAGCTTCAGAATCCCTTCACGGCCTTTTTTTTTTTTTTAAGGGAATAAAAAGGAAATATTTTACACAACCACTGTCACAGGGAGACAGGGAGTCCTCTTAATTCAATAAACAGCTTTGCTTTGAAGCCTCTTGAGAACAGGGTTTAAAAATTCTGACAATGATTCATCCTGGTAATGTGAAAAGGACAGGCAGGAAGTAAACAGTCCTCAAATAAAGGAGGCTTCCCAGAGGAAGTAGAGCTTCCTTCCCAGTAACTCCAGTGAGAACCTTAGGATGCAGACATATTCAGGGGTGTCTTGGGATTTATAAGTAAATAAACATCTGAAAAGGGAAAAAACATACCAACAAAGCTCAGAGTGCATCCCCCACAAACACACCCTGGTGCTGGGCTCAAACCCACAGCCTCCTTATTTGATGGGAGCTCTTTGCCACTGAACAACACCCCAGCCTACAAATACATTTGTACAGTACTGTTTGGTCCCACCTACCCCATATTCCTGTCTCACAGTTTGTTTTGTTGCAAGTCTTTAAAACGGTGGTTACTAAGTAAGTAATGAGGTTTCATTCTCAGTAGGCAGCAGCCAGGAAAAAATGTCCTAAGCCACAGCTACTGTTTCACATCTCATTTCCACTGGGGTGTATCCTCAGCGAGCTGTCACTTAGGAGCTTCTGCTTCCTCACTTGTAAGACTATCTCATTTCAGAGGAAGGTCAGGACTTCACAAAAGCAGTGGTAAGGCTTCTCAGTGAATGTCCAGTGCATAATAACGTTGCTAAGTAAAGCAACCTAGGTCAGGATTTACCTAACCCTGTCAATGTAGTCTTTGCCAGTTTAATTTTAGAGTAAAACACTAAATACAGTAATACAACTGAACTTCTATATTTTAAAAATAGCATTTCTGTCAAACACTATAGCTCTGTAATGTAGTTGGTAATTTCTTTGGGACACCAACCAGTTCCCAAATAAAGACAAGGAGACTTGTTATTAATTATGAATGTTCAGCCTTAGCTTAGGCTTGTCCCATTAGCTCTTTTAACTTAATTTAATCTGTTTCTATTTATCTATGCTTGCTTTGAGGCTTTTTACCTGTCATTCATTTTCTATGTCCTACTTTCCTGATTCCACCATGTCTCTCTGTCTGGCCTCTGGCATCTCCCTGGTGTCTCTTTTTCTTTTTTCTCCTGAGTCTAAATTCCTCCTACTTACTCTCTCTGCCCAGGAGTGCCACCTATGACTCCCTCCTCGCTATTGGCCAATCAGCTTTTTATTAGACTAATCAGGCGTCTTAGGCAGGCAACATAACACAGGAACATGTCTTTACACAGTCAAACAAATGCCACACACCTTTGCATAGTTAAACAAATATTCTACAACACCATAATGCATTTCCTCTCTCTCATTCTTCCTTTTGTGGTACTAGAGACTAAACTTGGAATCTCGGGCAGGTTGGGCAAACACTGTATTACTGACCTATAGCCTTAGTACATTTATATTATATTTCTAACAGAGACAACCAATAAATAGCTTGACTACTGAAAAAAAGATCTAGGTTTTATCCCCAACACTTCAAAAAGAAAAGACAAATCAAAACAACAACTACAACAACAAAAAACAAAATCTCATTAACTCAAGGATGTTAACTAAGTGAAAATTCATAATTTTACAAAGTAATTAGCACAAAAGGTTCATAGAGATAGTAAGAGTCAGAGTCAGACAAGTTAATTTATCTTCTTTAAAATAAGGCTGATTGTAAACCATTTCATATATGTATACATGAAAGAATAAATGTATGTATGCATGTATCCATGCATGCGTGGATGAATAGATTATTGACAGGGTCTTGCTGTGTAGTTCAGATTGACCTGGAACCATGTAGCCTGGGTTGGTCTCAAATTTGCAAACCTCCTGCTTCAACCTCCCAAGTACCAGGATTACTAGGGTTACAGGTATGGGCTATTATACCCAACTAGGTTATTTTAAATAGGTGGCTTTCTCCATTCTTTTTGAGTGTACATATCAAGACAAGAATGATCTATAGACTTTATTGGTTATTACCACTTTTATTTTTTATCTCATTTTATTTATTTATTTTTGGTTTTTGAGTCAGGGTTTCTCTGTGTAGCCCTGGCTGTCCTGGAACTCACTGTGCAGACCAAGCTGGCCTCAAACTCAGAGATCTACCTGCCTCTGCCTCCCAAAGATTGGGATTAAAAGCATGCACTACCACTGGCTAGTGTCTCTTTTAATAATCTTCATAATCAGGGATGGGGATATAGCTCAGTTGGTACAGTGCTTGTCTTACATGAATGAGATCCTATGTTTGATCCCCAGTTTAAAAACAAAAACAAAAACACAGAAAGTGTCCCATCACCAAAGTATCATGTTTTAGTTGACATTTACTTCATTTTAGAATAAAAAACAAACAACAATCTAATAACCAACTTTTTAGTTGTTTGTTTTAAGGCAAGGTCTGTCATATAGCTCACATTGACCTTGAACTGGCCATTGTAGCCTGGGTAGTCTCAAACTCATAGTGTAGCTAAGGCCAGCCTTGAACTCCTGACCCTCAATGCTTGTATTTCCCAAGTGCTATGATGACAGGCTCTTCCACCATTTCCAGCTTCCACTCTTTGAAAGAAGTTTCTTTTATGGATGTAGCTGGTATCGGCTAACACTCAGCAAAATTACTTTTTAATCATTAAGCACAAAATCTTTTCATAGAAAGCTAAATAAAGAGCTGCTAAGACAGGAAGAGCTTTGAAAACGCAACCAAGAGTCAGGAGGTCTCAGCCCCTCCCAGCTGAGCAAGACACAATGGACATAATTAGTCCAGTTCAGATCACAGCATGAGAGGACAAGGCAACCTCCCCACCCACTCTGTAGATGAGCCACTGTCTCTACCAGAGATAGTATATTCAAAGAAATGGGTAAAAATCAAAAAGGAAGGAAGGAAGAAAGGAAGGAAGGAAGGAAGGAAGGAAGGAAGGAAGGAAGGAAGGAAGGAAGGAAAAGCCAGTGAGATAGGCACTTAACCCAAATCCTTCTCTCCCAGGATTGGTGACACCCTGGAATTCCACATCCCAGATGATGTAGATACTCCAGCAACAACAGGAAAGAAAATCTTCTTCATGAAATCAAATTTCTCACAAGCTGCTCAAAAAGGAGTGCAGTGACCTTGCTTAAGTCAACTCACTTTGATTCTGTTCCAAGTCAAAACAAGATGACAAACATTGTGGCACTGCCTGCCAGAGAATGCTCAACAAATTACTATCTTCTCTGTGCTTCCATCTTCTGCTATAGGTGGGCTAAGAGTGCTGTCACACACAACTGCAGAGGGGACAGATCACCACTGTCATCTCTGTTACCCAACACACTGAGTCTGCTACTGTCAACAACCTGCAGCACCTGACAACACACTTGGAGCTGGGAGACTGCAGCATTTCCTTCATGAAATGATGAAAGTGGGGACAGCTATAACAAAAATCTTTTTAAAAAAATATTTTATAGACAGGCAGTGGTGGTGCACGCCTTTAATCCCAGCACTCGGGAGGCGGCAGGCGGATCTCTGTGAGTTCGAGGCCAGCCTGGTCTACAGAGCGAGTTCCAGGACAGCCTCCAAAACAATACAGCCCTGTCTTGTAAAAAAAACAAAAAAAATTTTTTTAATGTATTTATTGTGTATACAGCCTTCTGCCTGCATGCCAGCAGAGGGTACCAGATCTCATTCAAGGTGGTTGTGAGCCACCATGTGGTTGCCGGGAACTGAACTCAGGACCTCTGGAAGAGCAGCCAGTGCTCTTAATCACTGAGCCATCTCTCCAGCCCAACAAAAATCTTAAAGTATGAAATAAACCGTGGACATGGTGACTTTCCCAATACTTAGGAGGTAGAGACTTGCTCTGAGTTTGAAGCCAACCTGTATTACATAGTGAGTTCTGGGTCAACCAGTGATACTCTGCCCTGAAAACACGAAAAGGAAAAAAAATGAAGTGTTTTCCCCACACACTGAATCATCTTGATGAACACCAAATGAAGTGACTCCAAACTATTCTACCTGGTCAAAGGCAATGCCTGCAGCATGTAATAGATCTTTTCCTTTGCAGTGCAGAGCAAACATAAATGTTTAAAAATCCCAGCAGCTGCTCTGGGATCAGATGTGACTATCATTTGATTCAAATGTTAAAGAATTCAAAGCAGAACACAATATCGTTTATAATCAGTTCTGTTCCCATGCTTAAGTAACTTCGGTCAGAAACCTCTGCGACACAGATCTCAGTGAGCAGGTTGTGATACACTCTAGTTAGAAACCACATTCCACAAATCAACACACACACACACACATTCACAAGTCTATTGGAAAAGTACTACCAAAATCAACCAGTAACCTTCACGCCAAAACCATATTCTTAGAATCTGTATCCTTAAGACCAATTTCAGTGAAAAGCGGGAAAAAAATTCTTAAGAGAAAAATAATTATAGAATCAAAGTTGTGGTAGAGAGGACAATGTTTGGTTCTTTGCACTGCTAGAAGACTATCTAAGAAGGACCTTTTCTCATTGCTGGTAAGCTCTGGCGCTGGATGTGGTAGTGGAACTGTCAATTCACTGTGGCCCTAAGTCCTATAGCAGTGTGCCTCCCTGAAAGCAAGAAGACATGTAACACGGGTAAACAAGCCATCCCATTTGAAACACCCTAGTCACCCGGAGAAAATTGGAGTAGCCTCTAGGAATGCTTCAAGAACAGCAAATGCCAGCACCCCAAACCTAAACCCCCCACTGGAGGTCCACTGACCTTTTGATGACTTGTGACTTCGTTCCGTGTTCTCCCCAGCTCCTCAGCAAGTTTGACGTTTTCTTCTTGCAGTGCTGAAAGCTGCTGGGACTTCTGAGCTGCTGCCTGCTTTAGGGTTTCTCTGCAAACACAGTGAGTGCAGGGTTACCATAGAAACAAGACAAGCAAGGAAACTGTGGGAGACAACAGCTTCACAGCACCGAGGAAAATAGATTTGGGTCACGTGCCCGATAAGATCTATAATAACAGGAGACCGAGTTAGCTACATAAAGGAGAGGTCACATTTTAATCTCTCAAAAAGAGACTGGCTGCTCACAATTATGACATTTTAAAATACCTAACAAACACTATCTCAACCATATTACCACCCACATCCCACACAAAAGCAAATTTTTCTGTAAAATAGATGACAAATGATATGGTCAGTACAACATTCACCTTTAGGAAAATTTCTGTTAGATAATTATACTAAAACCCACTATGGCAATAGTGATTTAATGGGCTGCCAAGGCACTCTGTTCCACAGACACAGTCTTTTAATCTATTTTTCTCTTGCTGAAATAAAAATTCAGTGGTCCCACTTACCAGTGTCCATCAGAGTCAGGTGCAACTGTGAATCTGAGTATATTTTTAGAACAATGGGAGGTGAAATGCCCAAAGCAATATTTTTCCTAAGTAAATAGCAGTTATTTGATGGCATTCTTTCTATGATGCTGATTATTAATTAAAAGAAGTAAATAAAAACATAACACAGCTTGCCAGCTAACTCGTATCATAAATGTCAATACAAACAATAATTTCATTATTAAAATTAACCTAAACATCCTGAACTATTATTCTTTACATATGACTATTCAAAAATATTTTTACTTAATCACTAGATCCTAGTTTTATGCCATAGAAGGTTTTTGAAGCAATTTTGAGTTTTAAGTAGGTCTATGCTGGGTAAACTCTTCTTAGCAAGCTGTCATAAGTGACTGGATTCTGAATCTAGTCATCTGGGTATGAATCCATCTGCCGATGCATGAACGCATCTATTTTTAACTTCAATTGTCTAATGGGTGGCAGTGCCTGGCATCTTCAATTTTCTCAATTTTTAATTCTCCACCTTCCTATATAACATGTACTCTATGTTGACCTCATGAGAATTTAGGAAAATAAATCTATACAAAAATTGTCTTAGCACAGTTAAGTTGGAATTTTTACAAAAATGTGTATTTAATAAGTACAGAAAAACAGAGAAAGAAATTATTTTAATTGTGAATCTATCAGCCCATCTACCCACTCACATATTGTCAGTTAGTTTTTGTCAACTTGACCCAGACCTAGATGTGCCTGGGAAGAGGGGAGCCCAACTGAGGAACTAGTTCCATCGCAGTGGCCTATGGGCGTGTCTGTGGGACATTGACTGAAGGGGGCAGGCCACCACGGGCAGCACCATCCCTGTTGTGTAAGGAAGGGAGCAGAGCATGAGTCTGGGAGTGAGTCAGTAAGTAGCACTCCTCACTGCTATCTGCTTTGGTTCCCGCCTTGGGTTCCTACTCTGGCTTCCCTCAATGATAGACGACAACTATAGCCAAAATAAATCCTTTCTTCCCCAAGCTGCTTTTGGTTGTAGTATTTATCACAGCAACAAAAAAGCAAGTTAAGAGATACACATACACACACACACCCCCCATAGCTTAAGCTCATCGGCTGGCTAAAGTCTATTAATGCCTGGAAAATCAGAAGATTTTAGTTAGGATGAAACCATCATAAACTAAATACTGTATTTCTCAGAGTGTCACTGACTTCATAGGAACTTGTTTATTAGCCAGGAGGTGGTGCACACCTTCAATCCCAGTGCTCCAGAGGCAGAGGCAGGCAGATCTCTGTGAGTTTGAGGCTAGTCTGATCTATAGAGTGAGTTCTAGGGCAGTCAGGATTGTTACACAGAGAAACCCTGTCTCTAAAAAAAAAAAGAAAAGAAAAGAAAAGAAACTTTTCTGTTTATTGACACATGGTCCTGCTATGTTCCGAAAGCTAGCCTTGAACTGGAAATCCTCCTGCCTTGGCCTTCAATGTTCTGGGATCATGTGTACACCACCAAACCTGGCCCATCAGATGCCTGTGCTCCACAAAGCTTTTGAGAACAGTGTTTTAAAGAACATACAGTGAGGTTGGGTAAAGTGGAACACGCTTTGTTTGTTTCTTGTAGTATTTGAGATGGGATCCAGCTCTGTGGAGCCAATTCTCTTCTTCCACCTTTATATTAGTCCTGAGCATTGAACTCTGAGTCATTAGGCTTATAGGGCAAGTGCTCTACCTGCTGTGCCCAGTGGCCATTTTTAAATAACTGGTTTCTTGTTGGAGTCTTTTTAATCCAGGGGTTTTGTTTGTTTGTTTGTTTGTTTTTAGGCGGTGGTACTAACAACTGTGTAAGTGTGTGTGTGTGTGTGTGTGTGTGTGTGTGTGTATGTGTGTGCGTGCGCGTGCGCATGCAAGTGTGTGTATTCACATGTGAGGTTAGAGGTCCACACTGGATTCTTCTTCAAGCCTTTTCCATCTCACTTTATGAGATGGGTTCTCTCACTGAGCCTGGAGCTTGAGGATCAGCTAGCTGACACCAGCAAACCCAAGGGATCCTCCTTTTGCTGCCTTCCCAGCACCGGCCCTGCAGGTGTGCACCAGCCAACTCCAGCTTTTTACACAGGTACTCGGGGTCCAAAATCAGCCTTCATGCTCCCATAGCAACCATTTTACCAACTAAGCATCTCCCAGCCAGCCACTCTAACCAATTTTAAAGTTACTTTTTTTAAAACAGGACAAGACAGAAAATATTTGCTAGCTTTAAAATGAGACAAAGTAAACATTGTTGATACTGACTTACATTTTACTCATACACTATTTATTTACTTGCTTTAGTTTTTCAAAACAGATTAAGTTAAATAAAGTCTAGATATCTTACAAAACCAGCCATGTAGAGATAAAAATTGAACTGTTTAGTCACTTCTTTTAATTTTTTTTTTCAGGTTTTTCAAGGCAGGGGTTCTCTGTGGCGTTGGAGGCTGTCCTGGAACTAGCTCTGTAGACCAGCCTGGCCTCGAACTCACAGACATCTACCTGCTTCTGCCTCCCGAGTGCTGGGATTTTAGAGGCGTGCGCCACCACCGCCAGGCTGTTTTGTCACCTCTAAGATAGAAAGTCACACAACAATGGGAGGCTACTTCATTGTTGTTCTCCTGCTGAAATTAAGCGCTGGTTTTCCAGTTGTAAGAGCAATGGCCAAGAGGAAGCTTGGTCAGGCAGCACAATTCCATCAGGTGGGGACAGATACCACCACAGTTCTGGAGGGCATGGTAACCAGACACACACACACACACACACTCACACACAAGCAACTGCTCATTCTCTAGCTTTAGGAACTGAAGAAAGCAATTAAGGAATGCAAAACAACCCAAGAAGTACTGTTCTCCTCACACAGTCCTTTGAAAGCAGATGTCCTAGCCTTGAAGTGAGGCCAAGACAAGGGCAGAGTCACTGGCCAGGCCTTTTCACCAACTCCCCAGGCCTCCTTCCACTAGTTTCTACACAAAGTTAGGATCCAGCCATGGGGTGCCCTGTCAAGGGCAGGAAGAAGGACTTTCCTCAGGCTTGGTGGGCAGAGAGAATCTAAAGCAGTCCTGGCATAGGGCCTGTTTCTCTCTCATCTCAGCAACTTCCCTTAGTGCAGGATCACAAGAAAGACAGGCGTCCATTACTAGGACAGCAACTGGCACCTCACTGTCTTTTACTCCCACTCCTCAAAGGCATGAAGCAGGGCACAAAGACAAATTGGGGGTAGTGGTGAGATAGGTTCTCACTAGATAGCACCGGCTGACCTGAAACTTAGAGTGATCCTCTGGCTTCTGTTCCTGATTTCAGGGATTACAGGCACGCACCACCATACCCAGCTGTAAGGACAACCTTCCTCTCCCGCCCCCACCCTTGCCTCAAGACTCAACACCTCCCACATGCTAAACATGCCCTCTACACCTGCACCGAGCCACCATCTATCCCTTTGTAAGTATGACATTGATCCTACACAAATCCCAGCACTCTGGAGGCAGAGGCAGGTGGATCTCTGTGAGTTCGAGGTCAGCCTGGTCTACAGAGCAAGTTCCAGGACAGCAAGTGCTACACAGAGAAACTCTGTCTCAAAAAAAAAAAAAAAAAAAAAAAGGAAAAGAAACCCTGAAAATAATTTCCCTCGAAGGAGAAACTTACATTTCTTTCTTGAATTCTTCCATTTTCTGGTTCTCTACATTCAGAAGTTCTTTTGATTTGTTCAGCTCTTCTACATTTTTCAAGTTGTTTTCTTTAAGTGTGTCCAGCTTAAAGAGAAAAAACTGATGAAATTATTTCATTTTTTAGTGATATAGCTAGATAAATGACTCAGGAAAACATGTGTTTAAAAATAGATGAAATGAGTCATTTGTAATAAGTGTCAGGGAGTCATCCAGAGAAGAGATTACAAATGACAAGTTGAGCCAGGTTTTGGTGGCGCACGCCTTTAATCCCAGCACTCGTGAGGCAGAGGCAGGCAGATCTTTGTGAGTTTGAGGCCAATCTGGTCTATAGAGCGAGTTCCAGAACAGCTTTCAAAACAATACAGAGGAAAAAAAAAAAAAGACAAGTTGATTATACACTGCATATCTCCTCCTCCTTCTGTCCTTCATTTCCCATACATCTGGCCAAAATGTCAAACCAAAATACCATCGTACATCAAAACAGAAGCTTTCTTTAATCTTGTGTGGTTATGTTTGTTTCTTAGTTTCCTGTATAGTCCTCAGTAAGTACTTAGGTTGCCATTCAAAACAATCTATCTTTAAAAAGCAAGAAGTGAATTGTCAAACAGTGATATTATCAAGGATCAATCTTTATAATCAAACAAAAACCCCTTCCCTCCCTTCACTGACTAGTAATGTAGGAGATACTTTCAATCAATGTCAGTTCTAAACTTACCTAACTATCATTACAAAAATTTGTTTATTTGAACCAACCATTTGTCAACTGGAGGAAATTGTTATCCATCTGCAATTTCTATGAAGAGGAAGAATGAGACTGCATCATAGTCCATTCCACCACTGTCCTGCAGCCCCCTTGGAGCCTGCCTGCCCTCTAGTGGGCAAGTCAGGCATTTCATTAGCAGGAGTTGACTGATCAGAAGTTCTGGCAGGTAGTTGGAATTCTAGGAATGGAGTATCTACCAAGGACAGAACTTGTTCTACTCATCCACCATACAAGATGCGATTCTGGGGCCAGGCTAGCAATTGGGGTTTTATGTCCTTATCGTTTATAGCCAGAGGAGGGCGCTGCCTGCCTTTACCATGTCACATGCCATCAACCAGAAATCCAGAAAGTACCTGTTAATTTTAACATTACCTTCCTTTTAATGTTCTTTAACATCCTAGATTTATGAATGAAGAAAATAAAGCATTGTAATGGGCCCCAGGAAACAGCTTGTCCACCTTGTGGTCTGGTAATAACAGATACACTGAGGAAGGACACAATTCTGCCTGACCCCATCCACTAGGAAAATCTTCTATTTTGGGTTTCTAATTTTAAATTGCATCTAAGTGCATTCTGTAATCTTTTATTTACCCTAATTACCTCAAATATCCATTTTAGAAGGTCATAATCTTTAGCTTTGCATGAGGAGTCCTGGTCTTCATGTACCTATTCTACCTGGAAGTCCCTTCCTTTCAACTTTCTGAATATTTTACCTGCCTGTGACTTTAAAAAGCACAAGAAGCTATATAGAACTTCACAGCCAATGTCAATAAAGCAAATGACTTTTCAGATAGTAGCTTTTCAGGAAGGATTTTTAAGAGCTGGGAAGATGGAAACAAAGTATCAAGGAAAGGCCCAAAGGGAAATGCTACTTGTAGACAGAACAAAAATAACCTGATGTCACCAATTTGTCCCAGCTCTAGAAATGACTCATTCAAGATAACACAAAAAGAGGTAAATACTGAACTAGGCCAAGAAAAAGCCTATATGGGGGCTGGGAAATGGCATCTGGTAGCTCCAAATTAGGAGAAAGTTGAGGGGGGAAATATGTAGAATAAAAAGGAAGGATATGAAAACAGAAAGTATCATCACTAAGCATTTATCTAAGATGCCACAATATTAGAGCTTTCTTTTCATTTTTGGGGTGGGTTGCTTGTTTAGACAGGATCTCATGTAGCTCAGACTAGCCTTCTGCTGCCATCTCCCAAGTACTGTGTCCACAGGCACGCACTGCCATATCTAGTGTCACCTTGAGTTCAAGAAGTTTAGTGCTATTAAGTAAATAATGAAGTAATGCATTTTATTCAACATTACCATGGCATGGTGTACATTCAACTCTAACATATATCAAACCTGTCCACACTTCAAAAAGACATTAGAGGTAAGTGACCGAACACTCCATGAAGTTGGGAGGCTGTGCTTGGAACAAACAAATGGAACTGAAATCTGCTTACTTCAGTCTGCAGTTTTGCGTTTGTCTGCTTGGTATCCTCCAAGGAGGCCAGCGTTTCTGTCTTCTCCTTGGTCATCTGTTCCATGATCTGCATGGCGTCTTCTGCAGTCTGAGAAGCCTGAGCACAAGGAGACACAGTGAGGATGTGGAAAGGGCACTCTCTCCTGGCACCGTTAGGGGCACTGAAAAGGCACTGCCGAGGCAGCCCTCAGAGTCTGTGTAGCTACGCAGCACACAGAGAGTGAGAGTCAGCAACCCTAAAGCAAACAAGCCAAGACGGGAAGGGTCTGAACTGTGAAGAACAAGGTAACGGACCCTTCCCATGGCATTTTTCATGAAGTCAACTCTGAAACCATCTCCATGTTCTCACATCCTTCTAAACCTACATCCAAGTTCCAAGTTCTACTGCAAGCATGTGCTCCCTGTTCTGACTCATATTTAACAGGCTATTTGGTGATGATGAAGAATAACGACCCTATATAACTGAATGGCTCTCAATTTATTGCTGTATGTGCAGAGTACTTTTCTGGCTATTTCACTCACTATTTAGGGCTCACTCAATTTAAGCTAAGACGTTTTCATATAATATAAATTATTTGGGCAATTATAACTTAAGGCTCAAGTGATCCATGAGAAGCATGAAATGGGAAAAAAATCTGAGAGAAACTGAGCAATGAATACAACTGTGTCTGTGAATAAAAAAGATGTATATATAGGAATACAAATTCTTAGCTACTGAGTATCAAAAATAATCATAAAACTTTTTAAAGATGATTAATTATAATTTCATTTGGTAGGTTTAATAATGTTCATGAGAATTTTGTATTCTACATGTTCTACTATCAGCCACAGAGATTTCAGTGGAATCCTCCACCTCCAAATGGACAGATATAATGAATGAAATAAAAACCAAATAGTAGACTGTATTTCAGTGTGTGCACATTCTAACACTGCTCTGAAATCTCCAAAAAATAGTTAACTATTGCAGTTAACAAAGCTTCTCCTTAAAGGAAAAAAGAAATGAATCTTTTTTATTCACAGTTTCCAGGTCTTTCTGAAATGAAGGGAGACTACAATTAGACATTCAGTAATGAAATCTGCCTTCCTGGTTGTAATGGAGAGCAGGACATACACACATAGTTGGCTTACTTAGGTGCATTTCCTTAGGTTGCAAAGAAGAAAAATCATCTAAGCCACTAGTGTTAATGCAGTTAGTGAGGAGTCTGGGTGTTCAATACTCAAACTTCTCACTTTACCGTGAATGTGTGAAGGGTCTCAAGCTCTCTAATTTTAAGGGTAAGCTTGCTCTTGTCTTTTCTCAAAGTGCGGTTTTCACTTTGGGATTCTAAGAGGTTGGCTGAAATGTGGCTGTTGGTTTGGGCCAGCTGGCTAATCTCTTTCTGGAGGATGAAGTAGCTCTCTTCCAGCTTCTCCTTCTCCTTCAGGACCTCTCCATTTCTCAGCATCAGTTCTCGTTTCTCAGCCAGGAGGTTCTTCTTGTCCTGAAGCGCCTCGGCTCTCTCGGTCACGGCCACCTCGTGATTCAGGCGGAGGTCATCCAGGATCTTGGTGAGGCAGCTGTGTAGTTCTTGCAATTCTAACTTGGACTTGGAAAGGGCAGCAAAGTCACTTTTGAGAGTCTCAATGTTGGCAGCGAGCTGAGCTGTTTCTGCACTCAGGAGCTCCTTTTCCTTAATGATTTCCACTACTTTTTGCTCTGAGTTTGTCTTTTCTTGGACAAGTGTAAAATTCTCAGTCTGGAGCTGCTCAGTACATGCCCTCAACCCCTTTATCTCCTCCTCCAAGAGCACCATTCTCCCATGAAGTTTGTTGTTTTCATATAAAGAAGTCTCGTTTTCCTTTGCCCTGGCCTCTTTCTCTAGGATTAACGTCTGTTGAAGTTCACGGATCTCCTCCTTTAATTTCTGACACTCTTCCTGCAGGTTCAAGCCATCCCTCAGCAAGATGTTCTTCTCACAGCAGCAAGTCTTCAGCTCAGCATTCAAGCTCTCCTTGGCTTGCATCATGTTAGTGTGCTCTTTTTCCAGATTCCTTCTGGCATCCTGAGCCTCTTTCAGCATCAGGGAGAGGTCACACTTGCTGTTGGCCAGCTCTTGGTTTTCCTTCTTTCTCTCCTGAAGCTCTTTCTTCAGAGCATCGATGCTGCCGAGCAGCTTCATCTTCTCCTGCACAGCCACTCGCCTGTTTGCAGCCTCTTGGTCACACTTTCTTTTAAGATCACCTACGGCTTTGATAGAATTTTCCCTCTCAGCAAGTAAATCTCCATTCTGCGTCTCTAGTGCTGATTTTTCTTTCAAGAGACTATCCTGCTGCTTTTTAAGCCTAGCGATTTTCTGACAAGCCATCTCCTTCTCAGAAGTCAAGTACGTGATCTTCTCATTTAGGCTCATCTCAAGATGAGTGGCCTCTTCCGAGTGCTTGCTGAGTTTTTCAGAGAGGGTTCTATTTTCACTTAGCAGTTCCTCTTTCTCCGCCAGGAGCTTCCTCTCAGAGGCTGCCAAACTCTCCTTCTCGTGGAGAAGCTGGACACACTCCGAGTCTGTGATTGCCCGACAGGTCTTAATCTCTTCCAGGAGCTTCGTGAGGCTTGCGTTGGTGGTCTGAAGCTGTCTCATGTCCAGCTCCGCCTTCCTCAGCGCTTTGCTGGTACAGTCCAGCTGCGCGCGCAGGGTCTCCGCCTCCGTGGTGAGCAGCTGTTTGACCTGCAAAGTGGCCTCCAGGCTGGCGCTTAGCTTCTCCTGGCCCTGGCGCAGCGTGTCCTTCTCAAACTGCAGGTCTCTGTTACTCTGGAGAAGGTTCTCCCGCTCTGCCTTTAGGGTGAGGCAGGTGTTATCCAGGCTCATCTGCTTCTCCGCGGCTGACTTCTTCTCAGTCGTGAGCTCGTCGATCTCCTGGACCAAGGCTTTCTGGTCCTTGACAAGCTCCTCATAAGCGCTTTGAAGTTTCTGAATGACATCATCTTTGTCTTTCGACAAGAACATGTTTTCGGCAGTGAGCTTCTTGACCTGCCCCTCCAGGTGCTCTTTCTCTGCCCGGGCCTTCTCCGACATGGCCATCAGCTTATCCTTGCAAAAGCGGAGCTCCTCGATGAGCACCTGCATGCTCACCTTGGAGGCTTCCAGGGCGTCGTTCTCCATGTGCATCTTCAGGAGCTCCTCCTGCACAGCACTGATTTCCTTAAGCAGTTTCTCTCTCTCAGCCGCCAGGGACTCTTTATCCCGATGCTCCTGCTGATAACGCTTCTCAGCAACTTGCTTTTCTTCTGAGACTTTCTCCTTCTCTAAGTGGAGGGTTTCATTTACTGCCCACAGTTTCTGCTGGTCTTCCTGAAGCAAAGTTATCTTGGTCTCCGCTTCTACAAGCTTTGATAAAAGTGAGCCTTTCTCTAACTGTAAAGCATTGGCCTCCTGCACAAGAAGCTGCTTCTCTGACTTCAGACCCCTCAGCTCTTCTGACATTACTTCAATCTCTTTTTTGGCTGATGTTAACAAACAAGTTAGAGACTACAGGGACAAAAGATGGAAAGAATGGGAACAAAATGAAATCAAGCAGACAAATGCAAGCCCAAATAACTTAATGTAGCCTAAGGCATGAAAGTTTAGAATTTTCTACAATAAGCTTCATAAAAACCACCTGAATAACAAAGGGATAAAAACTAGAAAAGTACTGCATAAAAGGATAATACAAAGCAAAATTAACTGCAAAGTGCCTATTAGCTTTTTCTCTTTGAACTGATGTGTGACATCATTTCTGAAAACTTGTTTGGTTTTCACACTATGGATAAGACTTTCCTACTGTTCTGTCTGATTATCTCTCAGAAAAGATTCATAGAATTTTCAAAAACAAGTCAGTGAACTATAAGTAGGTGGGTATTTTTAATCAAAATGAGAGGTAGCAAAGGAAACTCTATCAGTGTTTAAACCCTTCCCTAGTAGGAAGGGGAGTCAACAGGCTAAAAGTGTCAGTCCCAGTAACACACATACATTACTCAAGTGCAGACTGATTTCTAGGCTTTGCTGGCTACAATGAAATGTTTTCAAATGTACTTTTTATAAGATGAGTTAATGATGTCTATATTGGCACTACCCAGAATTTTCTGTGATGAAATAAATGATAACATGTTATTTATGCTCCTGTACATGGTAGACATGTGACCAGTAAGCTCTCAGCATGCACTGGATGTACCTAGAGGGCTGAGTTTTCTGGTGCACAAACTTAGCTCTGCACAGTCTCATCCAGCTAGTGGCTACTGGGATAAACAGCAGAGTTCTGAGTCACTGGCTTTCTGGCTCAGTGGCCTCCTGAAGTGTTGCATAAAGCTTACAGACTGCACACACAACCTTCCTTGGGGAGACACACTGAGGTCTCAACAGACTCTCTAGAGTTTGTAACTCACTAAAATCAAGTATCCAGATGACACGTTTGTAAAAGGAATAATCCTGATATTTTAACCAAAAGGTTTTTATATAAAACTGCCAAAGTCAGTGCAGCTTCACACAAGCCATTAGAATGCTGTGGTGTAGTCCATAAAACTGAAAGCGTTTGAGACACGGGGGACCACACAGATATCATCAAACATGGGAATCATATCTATCATTAATTGATGTATCAAGCTGGGGTGTTTTTTGAGAAAGAGGGCACAGGAAAAAACTCTGACAACATGTAGAAGAGGGGAAAATACACCCATTACACTTGATATGTACTACATCATGGTTCTCTTAATTAACAGAAGGTAGTGTGAGGCTTGTATTGCTGTTCTGCTTTGGTCCTGGGATTTGATACTAGGGCAGGGTAGGCTGGCACTCTACAACTAAGCCACATCCTAGTCCTAACAAGAAGTTTTTAATAGTTTCAAGTTCTCTTTCATAATTTCTAGTAAACTTATATATAAGCATTTCCCTAATGCATTAAAAATAAACATTTAAAACAAAATAATTTTTGGGCAATAAAAAAGTTAAATAGTAGTAGTAAAAAGGGTAAACTTTACTAAGTTATCAAAGTCAAAGAACATATTGGGGTGCAGATACAATCCTGACACCATAAAGTGAAACTCTATACCAAGTTCTAACTATTTCCAACTAATAAGATATTTTCTTGATTTACTTGAATGCAGCTTGCTTGTCAGCAAGTTCACAGAGTTCTCCTGGGGACATTCCTGTAAGACTCTGCTCACCACCAGCTCTCCTCTACAACGCCTACTTGCTTCCCTGGGCTTCTGCCTCCTGCTTTTCTGACCTATGTCTCTCTGTACCCTCGTGTAAGGTGAAGCAGGCTCAGCCAAGACCAAAAGATGCTTTCCTAAACAGAGAATCTACTGCAAGCAAGCAACAGCAAGAGGTTGTAACCGCTGGGGACAAGCAGCACAGGGGGTGATGATGGCTACATAGTACATTCAGGAGAAAGACTTATAGCCATTACCCTCCCCTACAAGGAAGAACAGCTGGCATGAAACACTGAAAGCCAAAAAAGATGCAGTAAAACACTCTACCATGCATGCAGAGTGTAACAGACCACACATACCCCTAAGCTCCCTTGCAGACTCCACGTGCAACTTAGCTAAGACATAACACAATTTCACTATTTCTGCCCCAGAACATACTTTGGCTTTGTCCGCCTGCATTTTCAGGTCCTCCACGTCCTGCATCAGGCCTCTGTTCGCCTCTTGAGCAGCCTTCAGTTTTTCCTCTGTGTCTACCAGCATCTTCTGTACGTTCTGCAGGATTTCTTCGTGCTTTGTTTTTGTCTCAGAACTGGCTTTTTCATACCTGGCTTTCAGGTCCTGAAACTGGTTGTGGCTTGTTTCCATCTCCTTTTCCTAAAGAACCCAAAGGAAGGGGTAAGGCACCTGGCCACACAATGACGACCCATGCATGTTTCCAGCAGTCCCCTTCATGTCTCCTTACCAGTTCCAACAATTTTTCCTCCAATTCTTTCTTTTCTTCTTCATGCCTTTTAGCTGCTTCCTGCTGGGTCTGTTCAGCTTTAAGAGTAACTTCCCCTATACTTTTCTGCAGAAAACTTGCATTTTCATTAGCCTTTGTAAGTTTTAGCTGTAGTTCTTCCACAGATCTAGAATAAGTTTCAACATAAGTTGTCAGATAGTTCTTATATGTGTGCATATGCTATGTGCATGTAATGGGCATATGTGTATGTGTGTTTTGTTCATGTGTGAGTCCAGGCATGCATATACCACAATACAGCACATGGAGGTCAGAAGATAACCTTGGGTTCCAGTCCTCATCTTCCACCATGTTTGAAGTAGGGTTTCTTGTTTACTCCTTCATACTGGGAGATCCCCATCTCCACCTGCCATTTCATTGTAGGCACTCTGGGATTACCTAGATTCTGGGGATCTGAACTCTAATCCTTGTGCATCAAACACTTTATCTACTGAGTGAGTCATCCTGACAGCTAGATTTTTCATGTTTTTTTTTTAAACAGCAAGAAGCCAAGAGTTATTTATTTATTATGTACACAGTGTCCTGTCTGCATGTATGCCTGCATGACAGAAGAGGGCACCAGATCTCATTACAGATGACTGTGAGACACCATGTGGTTGCTGGGAATTGAACTCAGCACCTCTGGAAGAGCAGCCAGTGCTCTTAACCTCTGAGCCATCTCTTCAGACCCAAATTTTTCATGTTTAAACTGAAGAGTTATATTAGAAATATACTATAAAAAACAACTGTATCAGGTTGTATAATTTATGAGTAATTACATCTGAAACCAAGACAAATCTGAAAATTACCTGCTTGGAGAATTTTAACTGTTATAAATACATTTAGAGTAACAATTACTACAATTGCAAGAATTTACTACTATATATTAATAGATCAATAAAGAAATATGAGTTGAGATAAATATATTAGGCCAAGTGTGGTGGTACACACCTTTTATCCCAGCACTGGGGACAGAGGCAGGTAGATTCCTGGGAGTTGAAGGTCAGTGTGGTCTATACAGTAAGCTCCAGGACAGCCAGGGTTACACAGAGACCCTGTCTCAAATCAGATAAGCAGGCTCACAACCATCCATAACTCCAGTTTGTGGGGTCTGACGCCCTCTTCTGACCTCTGCAGCACTGCATGCACATGGTGCATTTAAAGATGCATAGGCAAGAGACACATTCACACAAAATAAACCAATCTTAAAATATTTATTAAAGGTCTTTTTAATCTAAAAAATTCAAGAAAAATATTAAAGAAAATAAGTTTCACATTTTCAGCAGAGTAGGTTACGAAAAGTCATTTAAGTGCCTATTGGGAAAAGAAAAACTGGTAATTACCATAAATAATTCTTGCTTAAAGAGCACCAGCTAGGTTCTGGGGAGATATTAACGTATTTGTTTTGCAAGCTATGGGCCCAAGTGCAATCCCAGAACACAAGTAAAAAGCCAGGTGTGGTGGTGCGTGCTTACAACCCCAGCACTAGGGAAGCAGAGACAAACCAATGCCATTAGTGTAGCCTACTTAACGAGTTCCAAGCCACTGAGACCCTATCTTTAAAGGGGATTGAAGATCTAGAGGAATGACTTTTGACTACAGAGAAACCCTGTCTCAGAACAACAACAACAACAACAAAGACAGGGTCTCACTATGTGGCCCTGGCTGTCCTGGAACTCACTTTGTGGACCAGGTTGGCTTTGAGCTCACAGAGATCCACCTACCTCTGCCTCTCAAGTGCTAGGATTATGCCCACCCAGCAACCCAGAGCCTTTAGTTCTCTACTGAGCCTACTCTACAACAGGCGTACTCTCTGGCAGTCAGACGTACCTTTCCTTCAGACGTAATTCATCGTTCATCTTTGTCAGCTGAGAAGAGTTATCTCCTGACATCTTCATTATTTCTGCAATGTCATTTTCTAATTTTTCCTTTGCCTTTACCAGCTGCTCTTCTCTTTCATCTTTCTCTCTAAATTTTGCCTCCATATCTGAATATATATAGAAAAGAAATAGCACCACTATGTTAAGAGCAAGAAAAATTTATTGAATGTATCCTTATCCTGGGGATAAGTAAAATATTACATGGAACCCTTTGAATTGGTAACATTTAAGCAAAGACCTGAAGAAAGGATAGGAAGCAGGAAGCAAGTCAAAGGCTCCCAAGCAGCATGTGGCTTGACATGTCCAACAAAAGCAAGGAGGCAGATACGGCCAGAGTGCAGTGGGTGCGGGGAAGAGGAGCCTGAGACAAACTCCTACAGACGTGGGGTTTGATGGGCAAGGACTGCACCTCTAGTGAGTGAGCCGGAAGAAAGGTCACGTGATCTGACTCTCTGGCCACTATGGAGAAGAAACAAAAGGGCAAGGGTAGAACAGGAAGTAATCGGTCATCTGTGTGGTCGTCTGTGTGAAACACTGAACCAGGACAGCAGCAGTGGTAGATCTTGTTTTTGTATAAAACAGAGGAAAGAGGGAATGCTCAGAGCTGCAGACCAAGTGTTAGGCTGGCACACAGAGTGATGCAGTGTCTGTGACTGTAACATAAACTCTTATCCTAGATACCCTACTGTATTTAATGGCTTGTCACCAGATGACATCACCTTACCTGTTAAATTTCCTCTCAACTTCTCCAGTTCAAAAGACAATGTGTTAAACTCTTCCTCCTTTTGGTGCAGCTTATTTACAGTGTCTATTAGGATAAAATTAAAAGTTGAATATATATCACATTTAATAGGTCCCCCAGAGCTTGGCTGGCTTACAACACAACCAAGCATATGCTGACGAGCTCTGAGGACCCTACCAGTCACACACCACAATGACAGGGAGGCCCTATGCCTTTCCTAGGCATCTCTTTCCTTCTTCCAGTCAAAACCCAAAGCTTACCAAAAGCTCAGTTAAGATCATCCTTCTCAGCAACACTCAATAAGCTTTAGGTCAAAAGAAGAAATGACTATTTCCGGAGTTTGAAGATTTGGGAAACCAATGGAATGCAGTTTTTCTGTATATTGTATAACTTCCAAAATGATGACATTAGCTACACTAAGCAATCCCGAAGCCAGGCCCCAGCCACCTAATGACACAGACAAAATAAAAAACTCTGCTCAAACTTCAGTGAGACATACCTTGCATACTTCTCTGAACAGAGATGGCCTCCTCTGAAACACCTGCAAATTTTTCTTTCTAAAGAAAAAGAATCAGATATTGATCACACAAGGATCTCAGCCAATAGACCAAACATGCCTATCAGTTACAATAGTATTTATTTTTTTGCATTAAGACTATGCACCTAAAACATGAAAACACCAATGAACTACCAACTGTGTATTGTACACATGTGCACATACCAGTAAGTTTGCATGTATATGCATGCATATATGTTTGTTCACAAGTATATGACTGGGCATATATATGTAAGTTGGTTCATACACATTTATATATATGCTGCAGGAAGATGCTTTGTCATGACTAACCCTTCAAGAGCTGTTTTCTCCTCTGAAACCTGCCTGAGGGATGGGGATGTAGCTTAGTGGCATTACTCTTACCTAACAAGGGCAAGGCCCTAGGCTGAATCCTTTGTACAAAAAAAAAAGGGGGGGGGAGAAGAAAAGCATCTGTCCGGACAATGGGCAGAGCTCTGGATTTCTGTCTGCTGAGAGAGCACCCAGAGGAACCTGAACTAAACTTTGTCCACAACTTTATAAGCAGACGCTCCACCTGTCTTCACCTACTGCTGAAGGCCTCCTGCTCTAAACATGACGGCAAGTCAAGCTAAAAGAACTTCTCTGGTTTTCCTGAAATAAATTTTGATGTAACTGTAACATGGGATCTTTTAAAAGATTAATTATTTTATGTGTGTGAGTGTTTTGCCTGGATGTATGTCTATGCACTGCATGCATGCCTGGTGCCCACAGAGGGCAGAAAGAGGATACCAGATACCCTGGAACCAGAGTAGTGGATGGTTGTGAGCCACCGTGTGGGTGCTGTGAACAGAACCTGAGTCCTCTACAAGAACAGCCAGTGCTCTCAACAACCGAGCAATCTCTCCAGCATCCCAACAATACTTTAATGAATATTTCTAACAGAGACTATTAAAAGATGGGCACATAAGCTAGCCTAAGCCCACAGAGTGCCCATTTGTGTTGCTCACAAAGCCAGGCTTCAGGTGGCATGTGTTCCTCCAAGAGCACGTAGAGGAATACGCTTACATTGTTTTCTAAAGTAACTCGCCAGGCATTGGTGGCACACACCTTTAATCCCAGCACGGGGGAGGCAAAAGCAGGAGGAGTGCTATGAGTTCGAGGCCAGCCTAGTCTACAGAGCCAGTTCCAGGACAGGCTCCAACAATACAGAGAAACCCTGTCTCGAAAAACAAACAAAAAAAGATTTAATGTTATGCTAGATGTGGCCCATGTCTTTAAACCCAGCACTGGGAGACAGAGGCAATTGATCTCTGAGTTTGGGGCTACCATGATCTACAGGATTACAGAGAAACCATATCTCAAAAAAAAAAGATTAAGTTATTTTTAATTATGTGTAGGTGTTATGTGTATATGTACACTTAATTATGTGTGGGTGCCCTTGGGGCCACAGGTGTGTGCCAAATCCCCTAAAACTGGAGTTACAAGCTGTTTTGAGTTGTCTGACATGGCTCCTGGGAACTGAACTCTGGTCCCCTGAAAGAGCAACAACTGCTCTTAACCACTGAGCCATCTCTGCAGTCCCATTTACTTTGTTTTAAAAGTTATTGTGTGTACGCGTGTAGGCACTTGCGCCATGGTGTGCATGTGGAGGTCAAAAGACAACTTTCTGCAGCCAATTGTCTCCTTCTACTAGACAGGTACCAGGGCTCACATCTTTACCAACTGAGCCATCTCACCAGCCTCTAAAACATTTTCTTAAAGGACTCCAAATCACAAAATAGCCAGATATGGTGATACAAGCCTTAAGAGTCAGCACTCAGAGGGTAGAGGGACATGGATCTCTGTGAGTTCAAGGCCAGCCTGGTCTACATGGTAAGTTCCAGGACAGCCAGAGCTACAGAGAGACCCTGTCTCAAAAAAAAAAATCATAAACTAATTCGGAGACCATTTTTAATGTAATTTATTTATTATATACCAGGACTGTCCAACAGAACCTTCTGCAATGTAGCTACTAAGAACCTAAAATGCAACAGAGAAACTAAATTGTACTAAATGTAGCAATTTAAATTTACATAGCTATATGTGAATAGTAGTATGATGAATAATATAGTCTTTTTGAGTGGGGTGGTTAGAGAGAGGGTTTCTCTGTGTAACAGCCCTAGCTGTTCTGGAATTTGCTCTGTAGACCAGGCTGGCCTCAAACTCAGAGATCTGCCTGCCTCTACCTCCTGAGTTCTGGGATTAAATGCATGTGCTACCATCACCTGGCCCAATATAGCTATTTTTAAAAGTAGAAATTTGGGGCTAGAGAGATGGCCTAGTGGTCAAGAGTGCTAGTGCTTACTGCTTTTGCACAGGACCCAAGTTTAGATCCCAGCACCCACAGCAGGCAGCCCACAGCCACCTGTAACTCCAACTCTAGGGAATCTGATGCCCTCTTCTGACCTCCACAAGTATTGCAATCAATGTGCACATACCACCCATGAATGCTCTTGCCACACATAATTAAAATTAAATAAAATCTTTGTATTAGGTAGAAAATTGTGCTCATGCCTATAATCCCAGCTGTCAAAAGCCCAGAGTAGTCTACTATGAGTTTGCTATGAGTTTTAGGACAGCCTGGGCTACATAGCTGAGTGAGTTTCAGACCAGTCTGCTGCAGAATTAGAATGAGAAAAATAGAAAACTGTAACCCAGACATTTACATAAGAAACAATACTTCACCACTGTGATAAGAGAAGTAGCACAGTAACAGGGAGGAATATGGAGCAGCTGGGACAACTGCTCCTGAGAAGCTACCTAGGTTCTCTGCAAGCTTACATGAATCCCAAGGTCCACAATTATCAGCCTCAACTAAGGTAAAATTATGGTGTAGGAGGCAAAGGAAGGGGGAAGAAAAGTGACAAAAGTTTTTGGTTCTTTACAACCTGGTGGGGTGGTACCTTTAGTCAGTTTTGGTTTTGTGTTTTTGAGACAGGATCTCACTATGTAGCTTTGGCTGGTCTAGAGCTTGCTCCGTATACAAGACTGCTTAGAACTCACAGAGTCTACCAGCCTCTGCCTATGGAGTGCTGAGATTAAAACCTTGTACCACTACATAATTTGGGATTAAGAGGAAAGATGCAAAAGGAAATATAATTTCCTAAGGCAGAACACAACCCAGTAGCAATTCCATTAGCTAGCACGCCACCTCGCCAATAGAGGGCACTGAAGACAGGGACGTTGCTGCCCACAGTCAAAAGGAGACGCTGCAGGCACGTGAGGGAAAGAAGTTCCGTGCACCCTGACCACGCTGGATGTGCAAGCGGGAAGATCCGTCTGTGTTTCCTAAAACTAGCAGCCAACAACTGTGCAACTGCTTTACCAGAGGAAAAGGACTTCTTTTAAAGAAAAGTTAGCACGTACCTTTCACTGCCAGTTTGATTTGATCCAGTTCCCTTGAAGGCATTTATCAGCTGCTAATATACTCAATTAAATCCATATTTTTGAAGAAGTAGAGACATAGCTACAGTATTTTTTACTGGAGAATGTTCTTTTAAGTAGGAAAAGATGGAAACAATGAGGTTCAGACCCCATCCGACAGGTACTTACCAAAGTCTTCAGTTCTTTTTCCAAAGTCTCCTTTACTTGACTGACTTCACTCAAAGTGTCCTGCAGGTTACTGAGCGTTAGCTCTTTTCCCTGGAGCTCTTTGGTAATGCTATTAGCCTAACACACCAAGTTATATGGTACAGAAGCAAATGAATAAAAAAAAAAAGAAACAAAAAACAATGATAAGGAAAAAATAAAATGTAAAAACAATGAAAAATACAACAAAACAATACTGAAAAGAGTTGGGTTTTTTTTTTTTGGTCTGTTTTAAAATTCTAAGAAGCCAATGACTTTAAAAGCAAGCATGACTATCTCCTTAGGGTTTTTGTTTTATTTTGTTGAGGTTTTTTGTTGTTGTTATTATTGTTGTTTTATTTTTTATATTTTTTGAGAATGGGTTTCTGTGTAGCCCTGGCTATCCTGGGATTCTCTTATGTAGACCAGCCTGACCTCAAACTCAGTGTGTGCCAACACAACTAGCCAAAATATACTAAATTTTATTTATGTGTATGTATGTTTGCCTGTCTGAGTTTACGTGTGCCATGTATGTGCATAAGACTGTTGGAAAACAGCATCAGATCCCCTGGAACTAAAAACCAAGCCTGAGTCCTCTCTAAGAACAGTAAGCACTCAACAGCTGAGATATCTCTCCAACCTCTACTTTTTTTTTCCTATTTTTTATATTTTTATTTATGTATTTATTTATTTATATTTTTACTTTTTTTTTCAAGACTGAGTTTCTTTGTGTAGCCCTAGCTATCCTAGAACTTGCTCTGTAGAGCAGGATGGCCTTATATTCACAGAGATCTGGTTGCTTCTGCCTGCCAAGTGCTGCAATTAAAGGCATGTGCCACCACCACCACCTACCTGACCTCTAACAGCTATTTGTAAAAAGTCAAAATGTACTACTTTTCTATACGTAAATTTGAACTCCAACATGGCCTAAAGCAAGAAGTGCTGGTATTGCCAGGCGGTGGTGGCGCACGCCTTTAATCCCAGCACTCAGGAGGCAGAGGCAGGCAGATCTCTGTGAGTTTGAGGCCAGGCTGGACCGACAGCCTCCAAAACAATACAGAGAAACCCTGTCTCATAAAAACCAAAAAAAAAAAAAAAAAAAAAAAAAGAAGTGCTGGTATTTAGTTCCTAAATGAGCGACCTGATCAAATTCAGCTGGGTATGTAGTTCAGTGATAGAGCATGTGATTAGCATAGACAGACTGGGCACATTATAATGGCAGTCTGTATTATTCTGCATATTTGTATGCTTAAAATATTTCACACTTGAGTCATGTTTAAAATCCACTAGACATTAGCAATTAGAACTAAGTAGAACTCAGTTTTCATCAAATCTTTATGTGAAAACATGACCCATTTATTAGTCACATATTCTCTTCTGGCTAACTTGTTTCTTATTGCTATTTCAGAACCACATGAGATTAGGGAAATTTTTTTCCTATAGCTATTTTATTTTCAAGTATGATTACTTAGCAGACTTTTGTTGTTTATCTATCTTCATCTCTCCCCATTTAGCCATCACAACACTTTCTTCTTTGCCAATAGAACAGCTTTTTCCACAAAAATCATTCATCATCAATACCAGAGCCACCCCCTCTAGTGGCAGGATTGGGAAAGACTTCCCTGAATAACTGAAGCTGACATTTAGCAAGGGTTGGCTGGTAGGAGACATAGCTGGTAGACACTTTTGTTTCTTAATCCTTGACAAGACATTTGTCTAGTCTCCGCATCTCCCCAAACAAAAATGCAGAAAATGGAACAGCCATAAGAGTAGAGGCCTATGTTCAGTACTTGGAAGACCAAAGTAGAAGGACCACTGAGAACTCAAGGCCAGTGTGGGCTACAAAGTCAGTCCTACGCCAAGCTGGACTACAAAATGAGCCCTGTCTCAAAAAAACAAAAAACACAAGCAACAGGGATATAGGGATATGTGTTGTAACCCCAGCACTTCTGAAGAAAAGGCAGAAAGGTCATGATTCAAGGGAAGCCTGGTGTATACCGTAAGACCTAATCTCAATTATCCCCACACCTCCAAAAAAGAAAGGTTAGATGGTGTGGGGGTTTGAATGAGAACGGCCCTCACAGGATCATATATTTCAATACTTGATCTCCAGCTGATGCATTATTTGGGAAGTATTAGGACATGTGGTCTTGTTGGAGGAGGTATATTTATATTATTGTGGATAGGCTTTGAGGGTTCAGAAGCCAATACTATTTCCAGAGTCTGTCACTCCACCTCATGGTTGTGGATTAAGATGTAAACTTTCAGCTAATGCTCCAGCACCATGCCTGCCTGCTGCCTGCTGCCATGCCCTGGCCACAATGAGCATGGACTAACACTCTGAACTATAACTCCATCTATATGTTGCCTTTGGTCATGGTGTCTTACCGAAAACAGATGGTGTCTTCGTTGTGGCATAAAAGTATGGTAATAATGCAAATGGCTCTAGCCTCCTACCCTTAATCTGTCATGAGCATTACTTATCATAGCATGTTAACTAACAGAGGTCATGTTCTACTTTTATATATAAAACCCTATAAGCAAGGGCAGAAAGGGAAGAGATGAACTTATAAAGTGGTTTCTGTTTTGGTTAACTGTTTTGAAAGGGTCTCTATGTGGTTCAGGCTGGCCTGGAACTGAAATGGCAAACCTCCTGACTCACCATCTTAAGTATTATAAACATGTACCACCATGCTGGGCTTATAAATCTCTCTCTCTCTCTCTCTCTCTCTCTCTCTCTCTCTCTCTCTCTCTCTCTCTCTCTCTCTCTCTCTCTCTCTCCCTCTCTCCCTCCCCCCCCTTCCATATCCACCTTAACACCACTGTTTCAGGGAGTTAGTTCTAATTAAACATAGATTTTTTTAAACAGCTCTATTTTTAAATAACCTAGAATTAAACTGAGATAAGAGTTTATGTCATGGCCAGGAGATAAAGTAACAAATAAGGTTTCCAGATGATAGGAAACCAACATTCACAAGGCTGGTCATTATTTGCTCTGATCTCAGCTGAAACCATGCTTGAGATCCTCAGAAGGCAATTGATTATACTCAAGGGGTTGCACCACACAATTCCTCTTAAATCAGGGACTTTGAAGATGAATGGCCTCAACTCAAAAGTAACATACGATGAAAAATAACAAACGGAAAAGAGTTAAAAAGAAATGATGGAAGATGTCAATACAAACCTTGCTACTTTCAGCGTTTCTTTCAATCTCTAAATTTTTAATCTGCTTTTCAGCTCCCTCAAGCTGCTGTCTAAGTGTCTCGATTTCCAATTTACCTTCGGAATTGGCTTTCCGAAGCACATCAAGATCCAAGAGCTTTTCTTCGACAACCTGGAGCTGTGATGTAAAATTACCAATGACCTTGGATTGTTCATTGTACTTGGCTTGGAGAACCTCTAGCTCCTTTACCTTTATTTCAGCCTCCTGCAGTTTATTTAATGTGTCCTCCATTTCCACTAAATGCTGGTCTTCTGCACTGTCCAGTCTGGCTTTGATGGCCTCTAGGCTGTCCTCCTTCTCTTTAATAATTTGCATTAGCTTGGTCTTCAGGGTCTCCATCTCTTTAGCATGAGCAGACCGCTCAGAGTCCTGTTTACTCTGTAAAGTTTCTATTTCGTGCTGATAATCTAGTCTCAGTCTCTCTATTTGTGTCTTTAACTCAGCAAATTCAGCTGAGTCCGTTCCAATACCTTTGCTGAAAGATACCTTCAGCTCCTCCATTGCCTGCTGGTGGGATCCGATGGCGGTCTCCAGCTTAGACTTCCATAGAGCTATCACATCTGAATTTTCCTTGTTGGCATGGTCAAGCTTGCTTCTCAAGGACTCATTCTCTTTGGAAAGCTTTTCGGTGGCAGCGTGCAGAGTCTTGATCTCCTTCTGAAATGTCTCTTCCCGAGCTCCAAAGTGGCCCTTCAGAGAAGTTATCTCGCTCTGGTGCTCAGTACGAGTGGCTTCAAGCTTTTCTTGCAAAGCACTTATTTCTTGCAAAAGAGAAAGAGACATATCCACATCCCCGGGAGGTTTACTGGACTCTAGCCTTCTTCGGAGCTCAGCTACTTCCTGGACTCTCAAGGCTAGATCTTTTTCTAGTTCCATTATCCGGGACTTTTCTGATACTGTAGCCACCTATGAACAGTGGTCATAAGAAACAGAAAGCATTGAAATAACAAATCACTGATGATTTTCAATATTCCTGAAGCTCTCTACAAACTACCCAGAATCCAGCAAAGCCAAGCTACTACACATAGGAATTGATGTCTTCCTTGCTGAGATAATGGCTTAAGCTCAATTCTGGAGGCTCTAACATGGAATTACAATCTTTAGCAAACTTCCATTGTTATGAAATCACTAATGGATATTGATCTTACCTCACTCCAACCATACCTCTTTCTGCTCTAAAGATACTTAAACCAGGAAGGACTCATTAACTGATAATAAATTAACAGAAACAGTAGCTTCCAAAGTGCTCAATAATCTGCCTCCTGGAGGCAAGCAAGCTGGTTTGGCCAGTTTTAATTCCTTCCTGCATTCAGTAGTACTCACTTCAGGTACTACTCCACCCAAGGCTAGTGATTACAGCCTGAACTGCCAGTTAAAGTGCACACAGTCACTAGCCACACATGGGTGGGCACTGAAATGTGGCTCATCTGGAGCAGGGTGCACCGAGAGACACATTAGGATTTGAAGACTCCAGAGAAAACAGATATAAAATATCTTAATGATTTTAATCATCATTGTATGATGAAATAAAATTTTAAATATACTGTTTTATATATTATTCAAATTAATTTCACCTGTAACTTACTAAACAGTTCATGTGGGTATCAGAAAATTAAGATTCTGTATATGTGACTTGCATTCTACTTCTATTATATAGCAGGTATACAAGAGCTACAATTACCCATGTTTCAGTGAGAAATGCATCATCTGTAGAATAAAAGCCTAAGTTGGATAATCAAAAATTTACTGGCTTTTTAAAATGACATTAAAAGATCACTTACCTGCAATTATACATTAGACTCTCACAGAAAGACCCCTCTCTGGCTTTTGTAACTCTGTTGTCAGCATTCTGACGTACACATCTTGTTTCCCCTAACCCAGTGGTTCTCAACATCAGTATGTATACAAATGGAATGTACAATTAAATTGCAAGACTCTTGCTACTTCCACACACTTGGATTCTACCTGAGCTCTGGAGTTTTAAGGAGAAAAACACTTTCTCAGCTTGTGTCTTTTAGTCTTAGAAAAATTTTCTCTGCTGCTTCCTCCTAGGCTCTCAGTTGGTACACAAAATACGTGGAATATGGTATCTTACAACATAAAAATCATTTAACTAACCTGGGAAACAGAAGAGAATACAAGTAGTTTTAAAATCCCAGTGGTCCCAGATTTCAATGACTAAATTCTTCCTAATTTTAGACTCAGCCCACGCTGCCTTTACAGGGGCAGAGAACACAGGACTCATGTCTTCTGCTTCCTCTGCCCACCCCAGCATGCTGTGATGCTCAGTAAGCTATCCAGAAGAAAAGAGGGAGGGATGCACGGAACAGCCACTGACTATTTCGGAACTGTCCAAAGGTATGGTGCTTTGTGGTATAGAGATGCTTCAGATTAATTATGTTAATTCATTTATATTCTGTCCTCTAGAGGGGAGGATCCATGAATTTCTTACATACAACTAAGACACAAAGCATCAATGAACCCCTTGCTACAAGGTTATAGCATAAATATAACAGGTGACAGTTCTTAGTCACAACAAAACTGTCAAATTGAGAGAATGCCAAGTGAAGAGCAAATAAAAACAATAGGATGATGATTCTATATATGGCATTCTGTCACTTCTATTTTAAGATTTATTTCCCAAAGTCTGCCCTCAGTTGAAATGTTCCTGCTAGCTTATGACCATAAAGGTCAGGAACTGTTTCTTATTCTTGCTCACATTTCTACAGCACCAGGGAAGCTGGTATAAACTGAACCCACTGGTTATTTTCACACTTGGCAAAGCAAGAGTGAGGGCCAACAGAAGACACTGTTGGTTATGGAAGGTTGTAAACTCTGATTTGAAATGGCTGCAGAAGTCCATTTGCAAATGGACTGCTTATCATCCAGCATAAAACCAGAAAGTTGTCTGCTGACAAAACTAAGACATGGGAGGAGAGTTTAGAAGTAAAAAAAAAATATGTATTTCCTTACTTCAGTCACACCAAAGGTTCTCTATCTCCTAAGCACCTAAGCACCATGTATTTCCCAGATCACGTCTTTTGCCTCAGGTTGTAAAGAAATGGTACCAAATTATCACTTATTCTTGTCTCATCTTTCTTTTTCCCCTTACCAAATACAGGTTGGGAATCTTTCATTTCTGAGACCAACTAAAACCATTTCCCCTCCCTCTCTCCCTCCCTCCCTCCCTCTCTCTCTCTCTCTCTCTCTCTCTCTCTCTCTCTCTCACTTCTTCAGACTGAGGCTGGCTTTGGTCTGTATGGCCCAGGCTAACCCTGAACTTGTGGCAATCCTCCTGCCTCAGCCTCCCTAGTGCTAGCATTACAGGCATGAACCACTATGCCCAGCTTTGTTTATTCACTCATTTATTATTTTATTTGTATGTATGTGTGTCTGTACACACATCTATGTGTCTGTATGTGTATATATGCACAAGTGCATACGGAAGCCAGATGACAATCTCAAGTGTCTTTTCTTAGGCTCTGTCCACCTTGGTTTTTGAAACAGGGTCTCTCATTGGCTTAAAGTTTGCCAAATAGATCAGACTGGCTAGCTGGCAAGCAAGTTTCAGGAATCCTGTCTCTGCCTCCCCAGGGCTGGGATTACAAGCGTGCACCACCACGCTCGGCATTTTTCCTTTGGGATCTGAGGACTAGCCTCAGATCCTCGTGCTTGCAAGGCAAACACCTTACCAAATGAGCTACCTCTCTACCCTTTCTTCTTTATCAGAAAACAAAAACTTACGATTGAGAAAATAAAGATTATTCATTTGTCTAGATTTTTATATCAATGATTTCACACCAAAAGAATTCCATCAAATACTGATTCAAAAGAAAAGTCAGGGTAACAAATTTGATCAGGTAATTAACAAAGTAATTTTTGTTAAAGCCAATCACAATCAAACATAATTTAACAAGTACATATATAAATATATATTAAATGAGTGATTCTGATATTTCTTTTAGCACAAGTTAAAAGATTCCATCCTGTAATGGTTAAGAGCATAGACTCTGGAGCCAAATGACCTAGAAGGAAATTCTGGCTCCACTATTATAATTAGCTGTGTAACCTTAAACAAAATTTTTACATCTTTATGCTTAGTGTCCTTGCTCTGTGAACGTCTGTAGAAAGGGTAAGAGTAATTCTGCCTGCCTCCCAGGACCATGAAAAGGCTGGATGACATTACAGAGCACTCAGAAAAGGGCCTTAACATATCAAGTAAGACAGAACTGAGGTCCTGGCCCTAGAAGAAATCATTCTTTTCCCAACACACCTGTCCTCCCTAACCTCTGAGATGTTTAACCTTGGTGACAGAAAGAAGGGAAATGTGAGCTCAGCCATCAAGAGGAAAAAAGAAAACAAAAAGGTAATTCAGGCTGAAGTCCTTAATTTTCATCAGAAAGAGCTAATGTTTCTATTTCTTTTTCCCAATAGGCCAGAGCAAGGGCAGGAAATTGAATAAATTATTTAGAAAACCCTGTAACTAGGGATATGAGAACGAGAGGACAATTGACTGCTTGTGGAAACTGGAGTGGAGTATTTCCAAGTATTAACACAAAGAACCTCAAATACAGTTGTGGGTAACCATGGAGTTTTTACAGTTATAAGGTTGCCAATCTTGATTTTGGTTGAGTCTTCACCTTTGACAAAATACTTTCATAAATGTAAACACCTGTACCTACTCATCACTCTGTGCTCATGAGTACCTGAGTGGTACTGAGACCAAACTCAGGCTGAACCACTGGGTCAAGGCTCAGGCCAACAACAGGCACGTCACCCGACGTGCCCACCATTCACACACGTGAAGCTGCTTCATCAAATAGTGAAAACCATTACCCTAGTGTCTTCTAACTCCCTCTGCAGTTTGTCAGCTTTGGTCTTTTCAAAGAGCAGGCTCTGTTCAAGCTCCTTAATGCGGGCATGCTCCAGTTTGGTCTGCGTCTGTTAGTAGAAGGGAAGAGGAAAAGAACACAACAGTGCCACCGTGACATGCCAGCACAAGAGGAGAGAGCGGCATGCAGGCCGAGCCACCAGTACTTTCTGCCAAAGGACGAACATAAAGGGGAACAGAGAAAGAAACGGGACGGAGCTGCGAGAGGAAGAGGGAGTGAGGACGGACACTGTGAACACAGGAATGAAGGTGGGAAGAGAACATGAGCTAGTCTGTTGAGAAAGAAAAAAATGGAAAACACATGAGGCAAGATGAAGTTTCAGATGCATGCAGCCAAAAATGTTATCTCGATAAGTGAAGTTTATCAGCACAAATTAGAATAGTTAACACTCCTCTAACTATCCTCTTCCCTCCCCCCACAATGGCTACTTGACATTAATGTGTATGTAATTGACTCAGGGACTTCACAAGGTTGCTTGACCCTCAAAAACATCATCACTTTCACCGATGCGTGGGGAAAGACAATGCCACAAATTTCCAGGCATTCAGCAGGTCTCCAGAGCAGACTGCTGGATCTGGCAAACACCTTCTAATAAAAAGGGGTAGAAGAGTCATCTTCCGGGCTGGGTATGGTGATTTAGGGTTACAATCCCAGCACTTGGGAGGCTGAGGCAGGAAAACTGCTGCAAGTATGAGGCTAGCCTGGAGAAGTCTTATACATAAGTGAACAGAGACGCCCGGGCAGTGGTGTCTTGGGAACTGTGTGGTTCGCCTCTGGTGGAGGTTCTCTACAACAGAACAAGAGCTGGAGAAGCTCTCATTTCCTCCCAACTGGGATTTCTCAAAGGCTTAACTGTCTGGAGAAAAGGGAAGGTTCAAGATTACAAAGGCAATATGTAGTAATGATTACCCACCATTGCCTCTTCCTCTGAAAAAGCCAATTAAGGAGATCAGAGCAAAAGAAAAGCTACAATCCAGATTTAAGGGACTTATTTTTATCCTACAATGAAGTCATTCTTTACCAGCTCAGAAGATAGGAAAGGATGACAATGCAATCAAGCTGAAAGAACTGGTAAGATCCTAGCGTGAGTGGGACCCTCGAAACCTCACAGTCACTGTGACTCTCTTTCCACAAATCCAGTTACCTGAATGGGACCAGGGTGGTTTGCTCTGCCTAACAGACTCAAGTGCGGCTGAGTCTGGCTCCACTTGAAATAATTCTGCTATTAGTCTAAAAGTACTACCCCCACCATCTCTCCTATCCAACTGGTCACTGGAACAATTGACTGACAATATCAGGACAAACTTTAGATAGCTATCAGGCTGAAAAAGTTTGGGCAGTGAGAAAATTACAACAGAGGTCATACCAAGTAGTACAGAGCCTGAGTAGAAAATCAAAGAGCTATGAATGTGTTCACTGGTATTCTGGTGACTTCAAGGCACTCAGGGGTCACTTTGCTTATGAACCAGGTATAAACAACCATCACAGGATATATAAAAGTGAACAGAAAACATTTTTAAAAATTCTTATTTACTTATTCTTTTATTTTTATATGTATTAGTGTTTTGCCTGCATGTGTGTTTGTGTGAGGGTGGTTTTACAGGCAGTGTAAGCTGCCATGTGGGTGCTGGGAATTGAACCCTGGTCCTCTGGTAGAGCAGTCAGTGTCTTAACCACTGAGCCAACTCTCCAGTCCCCAGAAAGCATTTTTTGAGGCAGGATCTCATTATAAGGTCCTGGCTGGCCTGGAACTCCATGTAGAGCAGGCTAGTCTAGATCTCAGAGATCTGTCTGCCTCTACATCCTGGAACTGAAGGTGTACACCACCATACTCAGACAAAAGACTGTTTTTTTTTGTTTTTTTAAACATTCTTTACTACACTCTCTATATTTTGTTGTCTGGATAGTCCCCTGAATCTACATGTGTTGCAGAGAGAAGCAGTTCAACACTCTTCTTTTACAAGAAAATAACTTAACCCAGATCTACACTGTTAGGGTTACAGCTTCAGGAATTCAAGCTAAAGTGAAAGGTCACTCACTATGTGCAGATAAAAAACAAATATCCAGCCAGGCATGGTAATGCAAGCCTATATAGTCCCAGCACCTGGGGAAGCAGAGACAAGGAGATCAAGAGGTAGAGGCCAGCTTGTAGTGCAAGTTCTAGGCCTGCCTATTATTTCATAGCCAGATTCTATTAAAAAAAAAAAAGCCAAGAGATGACTCTAACTTGCAATTGCAGCACTAAGCAACTTGAGGCAGAATGTTCAAGGCCATCCTGGGCTACAGAGTAAGACCCTGTTTTTTTTTTTTAAAGAAAGAAAGAAAAAAAAAAGAGAGAGAGAGAGAACCAGGTGGTGGTGCTTCCTTTAATCCCAGCACTGGGGGGTGGGGGTCAGAGGCAGAGTCAGGTGGATCTCTGTGAGTTCCAGGCCAGCCTGTTCTGTACATTTCCAGGACAGCCAGAGCTATACTGAAAAACTGTCTTGGAAAAGAAAAAAGAAAAAACATCCATGTATTATTCCCCCATTCAGACCTTCCAGCTGAGTGAAGCAAAGCATCCTGCCCCTTCCACCTTATACAAGGGATGTGCTCCACAATGGACTTTTACCAGTCAGCAGCAAGGGGACCAGTGATCCACTACCTCCATGCCACAGCCTGTGGTAAAAGTGTGATGCTGAACAGGACAGTCCTTTAAAATGATTGCTTTCTGAGACTGGTATCCCAAGAGGAAAGTCCTGGGTCAGGAGCTTGGAAGGAGAGCAAAGGCCTTGCAAGAAGTGCACAGAGAAGCAGGAAGGAAGTCCCATGCACACTGACCCTGAAGGCAGCAAAACCTGTTCTGGAGGGAGAGAAGAGAGACCCAGATCACTGAAATAGCCTCATAAAAAGGAACCTCTCATCAAAATGTCAGTGTGAGTTCTCTGGTCCAGCTCAATAGATGGTGAGAAGAAAATGACTCCGTTTTGATTTTGTTCCTTTGAGCCAGAAAATCAAAGCAAAAGGTTTTGGGTCTTCTCCATTGGTAGCACGGCTGGCAGTGTGGATATGAAGCAATGTTCTGGAGGCCAGTTTGGTAGTTTATATTGGGTACCGAATCTCAGTAAGAAGAGGGAAAGAAGGCCACACCTTATCCTAGAAAAAGCTCCCTCAATGACAGTAAACCTTAATATACTACATATTCAGGGAAGAATACTGGCCTTGACTTGCAGATAGGAGGGAAAGTTAGATTTCTTAGCAGCTACACTGGCCAGCAGTGGGAGCATGCGCAAAAGCAACCAGAAGCATCTAGGCGAGGTACTCAGGAGGTCAGACTACTTGGGAAGTATCTGCCAGCATTTCCACAGCTCTCCTTCTACGGTGTTTATGCTTCCCTCAGCTGCCGTTCCTTTTGAATTAATACTACCAAAATTAGAAAACATACTATGAGGTGAAGGAGGCCATGCCCTCAGACAATTTCTTTCCTTTTTAGTAAAAGTTCTTTAAAAAGCAAGTATTTACCTATCATTAAACAAATGAATCCACAGAGCTTAGTCATTACACACAGTTTCTTAAATATACAAATGCACTTGCTTTGGAAGCCACATGCAAAGAAATACTAAGCGAACAGTCCCAAGGTCAGATTATGCAGTTAGTATTTAAGTGTATCAATAGCATTTTAGTGTGGAACCAATCTGTGTTAAGGGAAATGTCCACACAGTTAAGTGCCCTCTTACATTCTCAGAGTCTTCAGAAATCTGGCTCTTTTGCTATCAGTAAAAAAATAAAAAAAGTAAACAACAATAAAGGAGATTCAACTGTAGTTTCAATCTGTGTTAGGGTTTCAATATAACTTTATTTGATTAATTTCAAGTAAGTTTATCAAACAGACTATATTAGCCTACTGCTAATGTAAATATTTTAACTCCACCTTTCCCAAACTCCAGAGGCAGTAATTCTCATGAATTAGATGATGACATGAAACTTCTAATGAGACTTTGGGGTGTTTTTAAATGAATGACAACAACACAAAACTCAATTAAAGGATGTGACTATATATGAAATGAGTGAAGAAGGTTTCTATTAAATTATTAATAAGCAATTAAATTCTAAACCTTATAAAATCAGAACTCAAAATGTTCCTTTTATTCTTTATTGACAATAAAAATACTATTTATTTCCAAGGAGATCCAAGTTACTGTTTGGAAGGATTCCTGAAATTTAAGCCAACAAACTCCAAAATTCTAATGGAAAAAACAACAACAAGAATTATATATATCTTCTGCTGGGCATGGTGGTGCACGACTGTAATCTCAGCACTGGGAGACATAGGCAGGAGGATTATTACAAATGTGAGGCAAGCCTGATTTGAATTATAAATTCCAGACCAGCCAGCTACATAGTGAGGCCATGTCTCTACCTCTGCCCAATATCCAAAAACTGTATAGACAAGTGTAATTTTTATTAAAATGATAGGAACAATCTTACAGAATCTTCAAATTTTGAAATAATTAATAATTTGTATTTGTCATATATGTGGCAGTGGCTTAAAAAAGCATCAAAACAATTTAACAGTAGTATCTACTTCAAAACTAATATGAGTAATTGTTAAGAAGATAAAAACCTATTTATAGGAAAATGGGTGAGTATTAAGTAAGCCCATAGAAGTAGCATAAATTGCTCCTGGTTTGTGCTCTGGTAACTATATTATTTTAAAAAGAAATTGTCTAATCTCTGGCACCAAAAGAATACAATAAACTATGAGGACACATCATTTACTTTTACAGGGTTATAAAGGAGTTATTCTGCCTACTAAAGAACAAAGCCAAGCCACAACAAGTGATTTGTTATGCACTATTATATTGAAATTTAGTTCTTTTGAACAAGCAGTCTTAAGACTGCCTTAGTGCACACTGCCAGATTTATGACTTGATTAAATCCAGTTCATAGCTTCTAGTTTTGAAGCATGAGAAGAGTTCTGAGCATTTTAATTTGCCACATGAATTAGGATACCACAATCACAGGCACAAGGACCAACCATCACCTTAGCACAACCCGAGTGGCCAAGGGGCAGAATGCCCGCCATCCTCTTGACTGGCTGTTCTAACAAGGACAGCTGGTCCAGTGTGTCACTCATATTTCTCAATATTGGTATCCATAAAGGCTTTAGAGAGTTGGAAGGGTTTACCTCAAGATCACCTTTGGTAATTGATTCTTCTTCTACTCGGAACTGAAGGTCCTCAACCTTCCTGTGGGATAAAAAACAAAACAAAACAAAACACTGAGGAAAGTGCTAAGGAACACCTTACCCACAGCAGAAAGTAAGCAGCACCCTGGTAAATTCATTGTCCATTGATGAAAACAAACACCTTAGGGACACAAAAAATAAAGGCATGCATCTTTAGGGCACTAGTGTATAAAAGCTTTGCTGTAATTGGAAATTCCAAAATTTTATTAGGTATCAACTCTAGAAGGAATTAGGTTTAAAAACTGAAAAGAAAAAGAAAATCAATTGTTTCCCTTGGGTACATACACCAGAATGCATCAATTAATAACTAAGATAAGATCAACCAGGGGGCTAGAGAGATAGATTAGGGGTTAGGAGCACTGGCTGTTCTTCCAGAGGTCCTGGGTTCAATTCCCAGCACCCACATGGCAGCTCACAGCTGTCTGTAACTCCAGTTCCAGAGAACCTGACACCCTCACTCAGATATACATGTAGTCAAAACACCAATGCGCATAAAATAAAAAAGTCTTAGCCGGGCTTAATGCTAATCTCAGCACACGGGAGACAGAGGCAGGTGGATCTCTGAGTTCCAGACCAGCCTGGTCTACAGAATGAGTTCCAGGACAGACAGGGCTACACAGAGAAAACTCTGTCTTTGAAAACAAACAAGACAAACAAAATGATTAAATTTCTTTATAAAGGCTAGGTAAATGAAAGCCGGCTGGAATTCCCTTTAGTAATGCTGACTAAAGTTATCCTCAGGATGTTCAGCATTCAGTGACAGTAAGTATCTATTAATCAAGCCATGTCCAACTGGTATCAGGTTTCCTGGAAATGCTAATCAATGTCTACTCTCTTTACATAGCAGAGTTCAGTTTCTGCTGAACACAGTCATTCCCTTGGTTTTGTCAACAAAATTGTCAACAGTAAATTTCTTGCTAAGACATCACTGAAAAGGAAAAGATTACACTCAAGGATCACCTTTTCTCCTCTTCTAGTTGGTTAAGAAGCTCCACTTTCTCCCTGTCAGCAGCTTCTACCATTGTTCGCAGTTGGTCCATCTTGGCCTCCAGCTCCAGGACATGCTGGGGAAGCAAGGATGTCAGTGAGTAGCCCAGGGATCCCGCCAAACAGGTATGGCTAAGTGCGACCATGATGAGTGGGCATCGGTCTTGATACATTCTAATACTTTCTAGCTTAGTAGGTTATTCCTGGCAACTTTCCTGGAAACTAGATGACAAGAAAACTCCACATCATATAGCAACAGAGGGCAACAGTAAAACAGATCTCATCTTTTCCAATATGAAACATAGGTCAATAATAATCTACAAACAACATCTGTGTTCACTAAGACCCTAGTAATGATCAATTAATACAAACTCACAAAGCCTAGACATAAAGACCAAATGGCTAAGGTAAAATCAAGAAGAACAAAACTTTATGATGATGGAAACTGGCACCCAGACCACAGCTTTCCAACAAGCTCAGAAAAAAATTGGTACTCATTTCCTATGTTCAGATGAACTCCATGGCTCCAAACATCAGGCACTCTTTTTAGCTTCATCACTCAATTTAGAAACCACCACCATATCCACAAGATCAACACCAGACTTCACCTGGTCATGCCCATCCCGGGCCAGGGCTAGCTCCTGCTCTATCTCCCCCACGTGGCTGGTAGCCTTGGCCACCTCGGCCCGCTCCAGGTCCCGCTCAGCCAGCAGCTGTTCAATGTGCTGCTGTTTCTCCTTCAACGCCTCCTGGAGGGCAGTGGTGCCCGAAATCTTGCGGGCGTAGCGGGAGGAGGTTTCAGTCAACTGCAAAGGAAAGTCAGAGAAGTGAAGGGCTACGGTGCCATCGGGGAGGAAAGGTGGACGCAACACATGCGGAGCAGGCATCTCCTCGGCAAAGCAAAAGTGCTGATGCAGCCTGTGGGTTTGCAAATTATTAGGCAAAGTTCCCGCCAAGAAAACAAGACCACTTAAAAAACACAGAGATAAACAAGCTCACAGCAAAGTTCAGAAGACATTTAGAAGATGAATCTGTAGTTCAAACATGGGTACTCTGAGATCAGCTGACAGGGCCTGCAGTAATCTAGACAGTTTTCACAAAACCCATTTTAAAAGTTCTAAAGCCAGATATAGAGGCTCACACCTATAATCCAAGACTCAGGAGGCCAAAGCAGAGGGACTGCCAATAAGCTTGAGGCCAGCCTGGACTACAGAGTAGGATCCTGTCTCAAAACAAAACAAACACCCAAGATTCTTTAAATTACTTCAGCCTATGCTACGGTTATCTTCTGATGATGACATCTGGCCAACGTTCTGACCTTGCTCTGAAGGCTGAGATGTTTTAAAGCTTCCAAACATCATCAGGAGATGAAGACATCACCCTCAGAGTCACATCTTCTCAACTGATGAAACAGCCAGGTTTTTGTTCGGATTTCCTTCATCTTTCTTTCCAAAGAAAGCTTGGCCTCTAGGACTTGGATCCCAATCACTAGATATTTGTAAGATTTAAGAGAAGTCTGGATAAACACAGACAGACAGGCAGACAGGCTCAGAAGAAGGAAATGAGAAGACAGGCAAAGGAAAAGAGGGGCCTGTGAGGAAAAAGAGGCAGGTTGGAAGAAGAAAGTGCAGCATGAGACAGGAGGGAGTAAGGACAACAGGGGGCAGGAGGTAGCAGAGACAAGGGCTGGGGACCCTGAGAAAGAACGCATCTTTTTGTCATCTGTTAATTTCTGTTGCTTCACCTACATCTCTGTCTTGAAGCTAACAGTCACATAAAAGCTAGAGGCAAAGACCCTGACTAAGTGGCAGCAGGTAACTGGGCAGAGTGAAGACCCTCCACTCTGCAGGCTTCCACAGGTTCTGCAGTCTGGGAGGGTGTTTGGAAATGGCCCCACCCTGAGCAAGCATTTCTCCATGGCCTTGACTTAGCAGTTGCTGGCTCCAGATCAATTCAACCTTTGGTTCTTCTGCAAACAAAGCTTCATTTGTCACCCAAGTGCTGTCACTCAGTCTGTTGAGCCCTCAGTTCAGTGAGCACAGTGGGGATCTTCACCAATTAATCCAGCAATTTGATGACCCTGAGAGTAAAGGAATCTAATCAAACCCACACTGTTTTTTGCTGTCCACTTTGTGGGATTTTTTTAAAAATTACTTAAATATATTGAAAGTGAATTTCATTTCTCTCTTTTTAACGTTAGACAAGCTTTCCTTCCTCGCTGCATGGTTAAATTGTATTTCTAACATCTCTTTGAGTACATTAAGAATGAGGTCACCATTCCAAAACAATACGGAGAAACCCTGTCTCGAAAAAGCAAAGAAAGAAAGAAAGAAAGAAAGAAAGAAAGAAAGAAAGAAAGAAAGAAGGAAAGAAGGAAAGAAGGAAAGAAAGAAAGAATAAGGTCACCAAACCATTTGCAGAGATTTGCCTCAAGGGCCATGAAAACTCTCAGGGACACTGAAGAATGTGTAAAATCCCAAGGCAATGCAGAGGTAGTTGTTGAGCAGCATGCAAATGACTAGATCAGTTTCAGGATTAGATTGTAATCTACTCAGTTCAATAGCACCATGTCTACAGAGCTTGGTGTTGGCGATTGTGAGGACAAAACACAAATACTATGCACAAACCAGGGCAGCACAGGAAATGAAGGTCCCAGTGATAAATACAATTCCAAGGTTTGACAAGATGCACAATGTCCAACAGGAGCACATTCCCTAACACTAAGACACTCTAGTTACTGAAGAATTAACTTCAAATACTAACTTTTCTGGATGCTGTAGAGATGGCTCAGTGGCTAAGAGTGTTTGCTGGGAAATAATAAGGACCAGAGTTCTGATCCTAGCACTCACCTAAGTAAACCAAGTGTCCCACAAATGCCAGCTCCAGAGTGTCTGACACCCCTCCACACAAACACAAACACAAATTAATCATGCAAAAAAATATTAACTTTCCAGCCAGGCGATGGTGGCGCACACCTTTAATCCCAGTCTACAATAGCTAGTTCCAGGACACCCTCCAAAAGCCACAGAGAAACCCTGTCATGAGAAACCAAAAAAAAAAAAAAAAATTAACTTTCCAATTTCTATCTTCCAAGGACAGAAATACACCTATCAAGGAAAAGTTAAAGCCACATTGCTTTGTGCCCACTAATACTCTTTCACATTTTCATTAGAAACTATAGCTACCCCCACAGAAACATGCCGAGAAACAAAGCTGTCTCACAAGACAAGGAGATGTCTCTTTCGACAGTTTTCTTCAATAAATAAAGTGAACTATGAGAAATTAGAACTTGTCTGCTAAATGTTAGGCCAGGAGAGCATGGTATCCTCCAAAGAAATGGACAAGATTCACAAGATGGTAAAAGTTACTCAAGGAAAGGACTCTTCCAGAGCAGACACATCATGGAATTGTTCCTAGAACAGCAGAGTAGATCCATGTTGGGGTGTGCTGAGCCTTTTGGAACAAGGCTTTGTTCTTCACCTCCACTCCACTGGTCCTGTGACATTTTTCTCCTGAGAATCTTTCTCCTGAGAATCTTTTTTTGTTTGTTTTTTTTTGTTTTTGTTTTTCCAGACAGAGTTTCTCTGTGTAGCTTTGGAGCCTATACTGGCACTCATTCTGTAAGACTCACAGAGATCCACCTGCCTCTGCCTCCCAAGTGCTGGGGTTAAAGGCATGCACCACCACTGCCTGGCTTCAGAATCATTTTTAATCGTACAATTGAAGATGCAAACTAAAACAGTCTGAGACACACTTATTTTACCTATACATAAAAGGAAGAAACTACAACTGTCTAGCAGAGGAGCACCACAGCTACTTAAGAGACTTTACCGCCCCACTCCTTTCTCTTCCTGAATAGAGGGTAAATGAGATCAGGGACTGGATACCCCAGTGATGAAGTTGCCATCTAACTTTCTGTTGCCTCAAGTTCAGATAAAAAAGCTGAGGTCCTGAATTCGGGTAGGAGAAAAATCTTGCTGCCATTTCTGATGTAAACAGCATCTGTTTCCCTTCCAAGAGATGAAATTAAGGGCAGGGAATGACATCAAAACAATCCGAATAATATAGCACATTAGCAAGAAGAAGAAGGTGTTACTTTAACTCTAGCAATTCCACTTTCTAAGTGGAAAAAGGAGAAGAGAAAAAGGGACTAAGAGAAAGAGATAAAGAGAGAGAAAACAAAACCTAACATCTTCAGGTTCCATAAGTTCCCTCTGAATCCTCTGGTCCACACAGGAATACTCCACACAGTAGCTGTGGGTTAGACCACACTAAAATTATAAAGCATCAAATTCTCTCAATACATTGATCCCTAAAATTTAGAAATCAAAAAGAAAGAGACCTATGTCCACAACAAATGGGATACCTCCAATTTCCCTGTCATTTGGGCTCAAAGAATAAATAGTAGTTACTACAGATTTCCCAAGAACTAGCATATAACAAAGCTACTATGAATAAAAGTACCATTAGAAATTCTTATTCCAGCCGGGCGTTGGTGGCGCACGCCTTTAATCCCAGCACTTGGGAGGCAGAGGCAGGTGGATCTCTGTGAGTTCGAGGCCAGCCTGGTCTACAAAGCGAGTTCCAGGACAGCCTCCAAAACAATACAGAGAAACCCTGTCTCGAAAAACCAAAAAAAAAAAAAAAAAAAAGAAATTCTTATTCCAAAAAGCCAGGTATTAATGGTTCATATCTGTAATGCCAGCACTAGGGAGGCAGAGGCAGGCGGATCTCTGTGAGTTCCAGTACAGGCTCCAAAGCTACAGAGAAACCCTGTCTTGAAAAACCAAAGAAAGAAAGGAAGGAAGGAGGGAGAGAGGGAGGAATGGTGTGAGGGAGGGAGAGAGGGAGGAAGGAAGGGAAGGAAGGGAGGGAGGGAGGAAGGAAGGGAAGGAAGGGAGGGAGGAAGGGAGGAAGGGAGGGAGGGAGGGAGGAAGGAAGGAAGCAAGCAAAAAAAGAAAGAAATCCCTATTGCAAAACTCATGCACTTGCTGGAGTTACAGTTCCAAAACTGCCTTGCAGGGACTTTCACAACAAGCTACAGCCAACACTCAGAACACACAAGCAAAGCAGGGCACTGGCTGTGGGCATGGGGTGCGTCAGGAGAGAGGGGAGGCTTACTAGTCCTGTTCGGCTGGGCTTGCTGCTCACAGAGGAGGCCACAGAGCTCATGGAGCTGAGAGAGGAGGCAGATGGGCTACGCTTCAGGTTGGCAGGCGTGGTGGCCATCACTCGCCTCACAGCAGCTGCTTTGGCTTTGGCTGGTGTAGTGGAAGGGAAGCCAATCTTTGTCACTTTATGGACAGGAGCAAACAATCCATATTTGGGTTGACACTGAAAATACCTTTAGAGAACAATAAAAGGGAGAACAAATACAACTTAATTACAAAAGGTAATAACTATAACCAAATACTCTTCCAACTCAAAAATGCATGAGATTGTGTAAGGACATAAGTAATTCTATCATGTGATAAATGTAAACAGAAGTTTAGAGACATGGGCACTCCCACTTAAAGCCATGGCAAACAAGACCAATCAGACAAGCCCCTGACTCTGGTAGATCCAAAATAAACTAGAAATGTCAGCAATCTGAGGACACTAGAGATTGTGGCAATTACAATGTTTCAGTAACAGGAAAGAATGGCTTTGGGACTGGGGATGTGGCTCAGTGGTAAAGGCTTGCCTTCCCATGAGTGACCTAGTGTTTTTTTCCATACATGGGACACACACAAAGCGTGAGAAGGCTTGATGGCTTCACAATCCTTTTTCAGAGAGATTTTTATCTCCATGAATCATGATGTTTGGAGAGTTAAAATCACATGCTTAGATATGGTTTATAGGTCTATGTTAACTAGATCATCATCTCCCATCGCTGAAATATTCTAAGTCAGGCATGACTCCACACACTAAAATCCACGAACTTGGGAGATGAAGGACCAGGAGCTCAGGGGCAGTCTTGGCTACTTGAGGAATTTGATGCCAGCTTGAGCTATGTGAGACCATAAATAAATATGGGAAATCCTTGCACCTCCCTCTGTACTATTTGAGTCCCATCTGCATTCCAAGGGCAGAGTAGGGATGCTCTTATAACAGAGGGGGCTGCTTGACAGTCAATCCCTCAGCACAGGAGGGAATTCTTATCAGATAGGAAGACACATTTTACATTTCTTTTCCTGACAAAGACCATCTCTTACGCCAACTCTGTCCCTGATGCCCAGGAACTTGCAGAGGCCCACTACTTGCAGAAAAGAAAGTCAGAAGGAAAGCGATCTTTGCTGGGCAGAGTGGTGCTCAATTGTCAGCTGGTCTACCCTAATTGGTAAACTCCAGGCCAATGAGAAATCTTGAAGCTGACACCCAAAGCTGTCCTCTGACATGCATATATATATATTTTTTTTCTAGCTAGGTTTCAGGGATTAAAAAAAAAGTCTAAATGGGGTAGTATACACCTTTAATCACAGCACTGGGAGGCAAAAACAGGTAGATCTTTGTGACATGGAGGCCACTTGTCTACACAGCAAATTCTAGGACAGCCACAACTATATAGAGACCCTGTCTAAATACATTAAATTAAAATAAGGTATAGCTCCTAGTCAGTCACAGTAGCTCTTATCTTTAGTCCTGACACTTGAGAGACTAAGTTGTGCTGGAAGATTGCCACAAGTCCCAGGCTAGCCTGGGTTACACAAGTAATCTCAGGCTAGCCTGGGTTATACAGGCAGTTCCAGGCCAGTCTGGGTTACACAGACAGTTCCAGGCCAGCCTATTCCAAAGACAGTGTCTCACAAAACAAAACAAAAAGTATAGCTCCTCAGATCCCATTTCCACTTTATTACACATACATGGTAGCTTCTGCTAGAGCACATTTACATGTAAGAGGGAGACACACTAGCACACAATTCCAAACCAACCTTGTTCCAGCAACAGCACCATCATTCTTTCCCAAAGGTTCATCTAATTCCACACCACACCATTCCCCCTTGGCAAAGTCCGTCTCTCCAAGAAACCGGACTACACCAGCCTTAGTGCCACCAACCTAAAAGAAGAATAAAAAGTGAAACTTAAGATAGACAGAATCCAATAGCTTACTCCTTTGTGGTCCTAACTAACGACAGGTGGTGCAGTCCATCATCCCAGCAGCAACTTCTTTGCTTTGTCTTCTCAACTCCTCTTAAGTTATCCAGACGCCATACTAGCAACTTACTGAGTGACACACTGCTAGACTGACCTGATGTCTGGTATAGTCCAACAATGAAACTTCTGTATCTAATCATTAAGGCTTTTTACCAGAATACTCTCTTACTTAGTAAAACCCCTTGATTATAGGCCAGCAGATGGTTCATTAGGTAAAGGCACTTGCTGTGCCAGCATACAAACCTAATCCCTGGTACCAACATAAATGTGGAAGGAAATAACTAATTTTACAAAATGTGTGCCCACAAATATACATATACACAATAATAGTGAATAAAACAAATTTTAGAAAAATTCTCGATTACTTCAGAGCAATTTTCCTGGTTGGAAATAAATTATTTGCTGTAAAAGTAAAAATCCAACAACATCAAAGAGAAGTAAAACTTCTCTGTGACCCTGGATTTTTGGTATTTTCTTATACTGCCTATGCCTCCCACAGTGACATAGAGGTACTAAAGACCCAAGCTATACATTTGGTTTCCACTCACTAATTGCATAGCAAATGAGAATTTAAGTACTTTATGCCAGGCAGTGGTAGCATACCAGCACTCAGGAAGTGTAGGAAAGAGGCTGAGAAGCCCAAAGTCATCTGGGTTACATAATAAGTTTAAGGCAAAGCAGGTGGATCTCTGAGTTCCAGGACAGCCAGGGCTAATAGAGAAAGTGTCTCAAAAAACGAACAAAAGACAATTTAAGTACTTTAAAATGATTGATTCTACTGTGAAAGTTCTGTTTCCTTACAACTGTTAAAAACACCACTTCTCATGATTTTATTCATATGAAGTGCTCAAACTAAGATTCTTTTTAGATGTTTTCCCAACTATTTTCAATAAACATGTGAACATCAGTGGTCACCAAAATTATCCCATCATTATTTTGTTTTCCCTTACACATACATGAGAACACACACTTGTGTCTGGGTCCAGAGCCATACATGGCAACAGCATTTCACCCACTGCTGCTTAGCAACCTGCATCACTCGCCCCACCACACTTCTTCAGAACATGCTTTCCATTTTCTCACCTTTTCCTAAGCTTGCTGTCCTTCTCCCGCCCCAGTGTGGAAGACGGAGCACAAAATAAATTTAAAGACAGCCCAAGATACATGAGACCCTGTCTCAAAAACAAAATCCTCACATTGAGGCTTAGTTTCCAGTGCTACAGTGTCAGGAAATAGAAACTAGCAGGGGGTATATGGTTTAAGGGTAGAGGAGTAGAACTCTCATAAATGCACTGATGTCTTTCTGCTGACTGATTAGACACCATGGACACGGGTTTGTCATAAAGCAAGTCTGGTTTCTCTGAACTCCTCTCTGGACACACACATTGATTGTTCTGCCACAGAAACAGGAGACGTGGGGCTTGCTGACTAAGCTAAATCAGGGGAGGTGTGTCCACCTCCCCTGGCTGTAAGTGTGTGTCAGCAGCAGTGTGTGCTGCCATGCTCGGCATTTACGTGCATGCTGGAGATCAGGCTCAAGTCCTCCTGCTTGCAAGGCAAACACTTTTTTTGTTTTGTTTTGTTTTGTTTTATTTTTCAAGACAGGGTTTCTCTGTATTGTTTTGGAGCCTGTCCTGGAACTCGCTCAGTAGACCAGGCTGGTCTCGAACTCACAGTAATCTGTCTGCCTCTGCCTCCCGAGTCCAAACACTTTACTGTGCTATCTTCCCACACTCCCTGTCTCTGCCCAATCATTTCTTTGTTTTGTTGTTTTGTTTTTGCTTTTAGAAACAGGATCTTGCTATGCAGCATAGCCAGGCTTTGAACACTCAATCCTCCTGCCTCTGCCTCGTCAGAGCTGAGAATTCAGGCACACAACACCATACCTGGAATTTTTTTAACTATTAAAATCTTAAGTCAAGTATTTCAGATTTCTAAGTAAGTGTGTACATGTGCCTGTGCGTGTTGCTCTCTTCCTCTCTCTTGTTTGATTTTCGTTTTTTGAGACAGGATTTCTCTGTGTACCGTCCTGGAACTCACTCTGTAGACCAGGCTGGCCTTGAACTGTCTCTGCCACCTCCAGTTCTGGAATTAAAGGTGTACCACCACTGCCCGGCCACCATGCTTAGTTCTAAATCTTATTTCTTCAACTAATTTAAAGTTAAAATGCTTCTTATTTCTAAATCAAAGATTTATGTTTAAAAAACAAATGAGTGTGGTGGACAGAAGCATAATAAACAACACTGCTGCAGGCTAGGCTACAAAGAAAGACCTTATCTCAAAGAGGAGAAAGAAGGGTAACTAGAAAGAGGAGGAAGACGATAAAATGGGAAAATGAAGGACCAATGGCCACAATGACTTGTGCACATTGACTCACCAACACCCTGTCTCCAATCTTGAGTTCCCGCTCTCCTTTCTTGACAGAGCCAGCCTCTGAAAGGTTGGAGATTGACTCACTGGCAGTTTTCGTAAGGTTGCTGATTTGAGATGGTGTTTCTTTTGCTGTCGAATGGGATGGTTTGTGGGGAATGTTCGAGGGAGTGGCTGAAGAAGAGGACACCGTGGTGGGGGCAGCAGTGGACAGAGGTGAAGCAGCTCTGACATGAGCCGTCTGAAGGCCATTGGCTTCATCTTCTGCTTGCCCCTTCCTTGTTAACTTTGAAGGTCGAGTAAATATACCCTTTAAAGGTTCACACTGGAAATACCGAACTCCTGCCACCGAACCATCGTTCTTTCCTATGGGTTCATCTAAAACAATCCCAGCCCACTGGCCTGGTGCGAATTGAGTTTCCCCAAGAAACTGGATAAATCCAGGTTTATTCCCATTCACCCAAACACGTTCTCCAACTCGAAAGTCATCCACAAATTCTTCTTGGGTCTCAGAGGATGGAGGGCCTGCAGCTTTTTCACTGGATATTGTCTTCTCCACTGGAGCTGCAGCTGAAAAAAAAGGAGGGTCAGAAAGATCCAACGTCATTCATAGTCATGCAGTTGTCTTCTAACTTAAAGCAAAACAGAGAGTGGGCTAGAGAGATGGCTCAGTTGTTATAAGCACTAGCTGATCTTGTAGGGACCCAGGTTCAACCCCCAGCACCTACATGGTGGCTCACAACTGTCCATAACTCCAGTTCTAGGAATCTGACATTCTCTTCTGGCCTTAGCCAGCAACAGGCATACCATTGTGCACAGATATAAAGGCAGAAGAAACACCCATACACATAAATAATAATAATAATAAACTTTAAACATAAAAAGAGAAAAATAGCCGGGCGTTGGTGGTGCACGCCTTTAATCCCAGCACTCGGGAGGCAGAGGCAGGCGGATCTCCGTGAGTTCGAGGCCAGGCTGGTCAACAGAGCGAGTTCCAGGACAGCCTCCAAAACAATACAGAGAAACCCTGTCTTGAAAGACCAAAAACAAAAAAACAAAAACAAAAACAAAAACAAAAAAAACTGAGCTGGCGAGTGAGCAGAGGCAGGCAGATGTCTGTCTGTGAGTTCGAGGCCATCCTGGTCTACAGAGTGAGCACCAGGACAGGTTCCAAAAGCTACACAGAGAAACCCTGCCTTGAAAAACCAAAACCAAATGGATGGATGGATGGATGGATGGATGGATGGATGGATGGATGGATGGGTGGATGGATGGGTGGGTGGGTGGGTAGATAGATAGATAGATAGATAGATAGATAGATAGATAGATAGATAGATAGATAGATAGATAGATAGAACACAGGGTATTTTCTTTGGTAGTGCTTCTAATGCCACCAAATTAAGATGCTATTAAGATGTTTAAATAAAAGAGTTCTAATTAAAAAAAATACAGGGCTGGGCAGTGGTGGCACACACCTTTAATCCAAGCATTTGGGAGGCAGAGGCAAGAGGATCTCTATGAGTTCAAGGCCAGCCTGGTCTACAGAATGAGCACAGAGAAACCCTGTCTCGAAAAACAAAAACACACACACACACACACACACACACACACACAGACACACACACACACACCTTTTAGACTAGACTACTGTTTATTTCTAATTCCAGGGAGAAAGATCTGAAAAATTAAAGAAGAGAAATCAAAATGCCTTAATACTGTAGGGATCAAATAACTCAAATGACTTTATTACTTTAACTACTCTCACTAAATCAACTAGATTATGAAAGGATAACCTCCAAAAATGTGACTCTTTAAGAATTCTAGATCTGGCCGGGTGGTGGTGGCAGACACCTGTCTGTGTGGGAATCACGACTCACTAGACAGGTGAAGTGAAGTTTATCCCGGGAGAGGGCACTTACACAGGAAATAGATGACTGCCCGGGTTCCCTCTCCAAGGATTCACACAGGTTGCTCTCCCTGACCCGACCAGAAGCAACAGAGGGCGCTAGCTGGGCTTGGGACCCCAGACCCAGCCCTACCCTCCATCATGTCCACACCTGTGACTATACCCAAACTGGCGTGGTCAGTGCTACAGGTGTGGGGAGCTGGATATCTCACTACAGACACCTTTAATCCCGGCATTCAAGAGGCAGAGGCAGGCAGATCTCTGTGAGTTTAAGGCCAGCCTGGTCAATTTTATTTTATTTTTTAAGAACTCCAAATATAAAACTCTGTTTCTTCAATAAAACTTTTTCAAATATCAATTTTTATAGTTGTCTTTTCAGGAAAAAAAATCTTTAAATCTGAGGCCTTTATACATGATAATGTATGATCGTTCAGCGATTAAGAGTGTCTGCTACCCTTTTAGAAGACCTGAGTTTGGCTCCCAGCACCCATGTCAGATGGCTCACAATTGCCTACAACTCCAGCTCCAGACAATCTGAAACCCTCTTCTGGCATCTTCCAGCAACTGCAAGCACATGCACATATACACACACAGACACATTAAATAAATAGTAAAACAAACTTTTTTCTAAAAAATTAAAAGTAATTTGGCGTGGTCACATACACCTTTAATCCTAGCACTCAGGAAGCAGAAGCAGTCAAATCTCTTTGTTCGAGGTCAGTCTGGTCTACAGAATGAGGTTCAGGACATTCAGGGCTACACAGAGAAACCCTGTCTCAGAATGAAAAAAACAAATAAATAAAAAGTGAAGCATTACCAGCAACAGGTGTCTTCAAGGCTGTGCTTCCAGGCTTAAGGATCTTGGTAGGGGCCTTCAGCCCACTTGGTTTTAGCATACTCATTTTCTTGGAACGTCAGACAGCTTTCCCTTGTTGGTGCCACTATCTTTCCCCAATCATCCATACAAATGTGGGTGTTTCTATAGAGAACTTAGTCTCTCGATTAAATCTGAAAAGAAAAATATGTCAAGAGAAAAAGAACAGGGACAATAGTTATTTCAGATTCCAAACTGGGCACAGTAGTGGTGCATGCTTTTAATCACAGGAAGCCATCCTTTTGTTTATTTGAGGGTTTTTTTTCCCTGAGGGTAAGGGTGGTTTCTGGAAAACTCACTACTTTTTAAGAATGTAAAGGAGCTCTAAGAAAAGTGTTCCCCAATTGTTGCTATATTAATTTTTGTTTCCTACAAAAACTTACAAAGGAGTTTTGTTTGAGACAAGGTCTCACTATGTAGTTCTGGCTGTCCTGGAACTATGTAAACCATGCTGGCTTCAAACTCCCTTTTATGGGCTTAAAGGCTTGCAACACCACACCTGGCCAGGAGTTAGAGACTTTAAATCTTCATTTTACATTACAGGGCCTTCCAGCACCAAGTGCCTCTAATTCAGATAAAGACTTGGGTGCCAGGGCTGGGGAGTTTGCTCAGTGATTAAGAGCACGTGTTGTTCTTGCAAAGGACCACATCCTCAGGAACCAGGCCTGCATGTGGTGCAGACAGACATGCAGACAAAACTCTCACACACACTGAATAATGAGGAGAGGATAGCAGAGGTTGGGTGAAGGAACTGGGAGAGGAGGAGGGAGGGAGGGGAAACTGTAATCGGGCTGGAAAAATAATTTAATAATAATAATAAAAACATGAGTCAAGTAAGCATGTTTGGTATTTACTGTTTTCATTACTACTGCCTAACACTGCACTAAGGACTATGAATACCAAAGCCTGATTTGCAGCCTATGCCAAGAGCAGTAACACCACTGTGTGTTAACATCAAGGGTTCATATACACAAATTATGCATCACCACAGGCAATTATTAGATGTGTTGGTGCTCACAGGGTGAAGTATCATGGTGTGAAGTACCACCTACAACTTGTTAGAAATGAGGACCTCGAATCTATTGAAACAAACCCTGGATGGGCTCTGCTATCTGTAGTTTAATAAGCCATGAATTCAGGTGATTCTGATGGGAGCATTTGAGAATCACTATTAAATTATTGATCAAAAAATAACCACTTAAAATGAAAAATCCCACACAAAAAAAGATTTAAGAACTTTAGGGTTGGGCCAGGCAGTGGCGGCGCACACCTTTAATCTCAGCACTCAGGAGGCAGAGGCAGGCGGATCTCTGTGAGTTCAAGACCAGCCTGGTCTACAAGAGCTAGTTCCAGGACAGCCTCCAAAGTCACAGAGAAACCCTATCTCGAAAAACAAAACAAAAATAAGCAGAAGAGTAACACGATTTCTGAATTGGTCTTAAACCCTAAGTCAGACATGGGGTAAATGCTGAAAGAGAAGCAAAGCAGTCAGCCACTAGTTCACACTTCTACCCAATTCTCAGACAGAATAGGCGATGCTGTCTCTACGAAATCTCAGACTGAATCCTAAGCTCCTGTCTCCTCTCACCTTACCACAGTTTGGCTCTGTTACTCTTTTTTTTTTTTTTTTTTTTTTTTTTTTTTTTTGGTTTTTCGAGACAGGGTTTCTCTGTAGCTTTGGAGGCTGTCCTGGAACTCACTTTGTAGACCAGGCTGGCTTCGAACTCACAGAGATCCGCCTGCTTCTGCCTCCCGAGGGCTGGGATTAAAGGCGTGCGCCACCAACGCCTGGCTCTGTTACTCTTTTAGACTGATTCAATCTTGTGTAGCCCAGAGTGAGTTTGAGCTCACAGAGAAGATCTGCCGGCCTCTGTCTCCTGAGTGCTGGGATTTAAGGTGTGTGCCACCACTGCCTGGCCTCTATGGCTAACTAGTGGCTTAGCTCCACACTCTGATCTTCAGGCAAGCTTTATTAGTTAGATCACAAACCAAGTATCAGCACAGGCAGGGAGGTTCAATTACTCAATTGCATGCATATAAATCATCCACAACTGGCTCTCAATACCTCTACAGCACCTCAGAGCTTTTCCTCCTCCATGGCTCTGTTCTAGTAGTTCTCCCTGTCCTTTCCAAGTCTTCAGCTTACCCTGCTGAAATCTGCACTCACCCACCATACAAAACCTACTCAGCTCCTCACCAATGCAAATATATTCCACTTGCTATTTCCAATACAGTGTCCATTGTGTTTAGTCTATCTGCTATTTGTTTGTGACAGTCTCATGGATCCCAGATAGACTCAAGCTTGCTATGTACCTGAGGATGACTTTGAACTTCTGATCCCTCTGCCTCCATCTCCTGAGTGCTGAGATATGCATATAAAACCAGATGGCTGGCTGGCTGGCTGGCTGGTGTGTGTGTGTGTGTGTGTGTGTGTGTGTGTGTGTGTGTGTGTGTGTGTGTTCACATGTGATGGGAAGCTACAACAAGTGCCAGGGTGAGTAAATGGAGGTCAGAGGACAACTTTATAGAGCCAGCTCTCTCTTTTCACATTTGTAAGCAGGTTCTAGGGGTTGAACTCAGGATCTCAGGCTTGTGTGGAAGTGTCTTTAACCCACTGAACTGTCTCATCAACCGTTTCTTGTACCTAGTATGGTTTTTTTTTTTTTTTTTGGTTTTTACGAGGCAGGGTTTCTCTGTATTGTTTCGGAGGCTATCAGTCCAGCCCAGCCTCAAAGAGATCCGCCTGCCTCTGCCTCCCGAGTGCTGGGACCTAGTATGTTTTTAAATCATACTTCCTGCTCACTACAGATAAGCAGAATAATATACGATAGACACAAACATATGGAACATACAATGTAGCTGGGACACACACACACACACACACACACACGCACACACACGCACGCACGCACGCATGCACGCACGCACGACTATGCACAATGTGATTTTTGAGAAATACCAAACCATGTGACTATCCTGGAAATGTCCTAGAAGACCAAAAGAATGAAGTAGGATGGAAGATAAAGGCTGCATGAGCAAGGTGAAGCCGAATGAGCTGGAAGGAAATATTCAGTACACTGTCAGTCAGGAGACCAAGGAAGAAAGAGGGAAAGGACAAGGCCTATGAAGTGGACAATGAGCTCAGCTGGACGAAAATCAGAAGATTCTTATAAGAACTCAAGTTTAAGGGTAAACTGAAGGGGAGGCTCAGGAACCTGAGATCAATCTGATCAACTTAGTGCAAAGCCTTCATTTCAACATTCTATTGCACAATGAAAGCTGCCTACAGCATTTCTGACCTTGTATTTATTTCGCTTATTTGTTTCAATTACTTTAGTCTAGTCACCGTTAACAAGCAAAGTCTGAAGCCAAGGGTTTGCAGCCTTTTCCTGTACCATTTGAAATCCTCAGAGTTAGTACAAGCAGGATCTTAGTACAATTAGCCAGCATCAGGCTAATTCAGGAGAGAAGAGTCCTGAGCATCAGTGTTGATCCTTACAATGTGACTACCAGGGAAGATTATCACCTAGAACTCTTAAGATCACAGTCTGGCAAGGACCAGCACAGCTGTGAAGACTAGCTGCCACTGAGCACAAGAGTCCAAGTCCAGCCTTTCCGACTACACTGGGAGGTGGACTAGGATAAATATTCTACGGCTTACCTTTACTTGATACATTTTTATATCTTAACATAAAGGACTCCCCCAGTCTGTGAGATTAAAAGCTCAATATTCTGCCTCTATGTTTTCACATGAAGCCACCAGCTACACATGATTTTTGGTTTGATTTTGTCTTGTTGAGATAGGCTCTCACAGTGAATCCCTGGATAACCTGGAAGTTACATCAGGCTGACCTAGAACTCGTACAGATCTGCCTGCCTCAGCCTCCCAAGTGCTGGGAATAAGGATGTATACATCCATGCCTAACCTACCTTTTTCCTTTTTAAAGATTTGCCACCCCCTCTCTGTATACTGGTGTGCAGGTGCATGTGGAAGCCAGAAGAGAGCATAATGCACCCTAGATGTGGTGGTGAACTACCTGACTGAGGTGCTGGAAAATGAACTCCAGCCCTCTGCATGAGTAGCAAGCATCCATAACCTTAGAACCCTGTATCCAGCCCCTACTTGTTAAATTGAATGCCTCAGTCACATTCAAATGTGCAGATGAATGGCCACAGTGCCCCAGAGAGAAGTTGTCATCATCGCACACAGGACAATTCTACTGGACAACAGCATTCCACAATCTCCTCCACCCAAAGGTACTCTCCTTGCCAAAGAATCCAAGTATCAAATGAGTGCCCAGAGAGCTCAGCAATTAGGAGCACTTACTGAGAGGACTCTGTTTGGTTCCCTGCACTCAGGTCAGACAGTCACAGCTACCTGTAACTCCAGTTCTAGGGGCTCTGTCACCCTCTTCTGACATACATACATGCAAAATGCTTATACATATAAAAATCAATAAAAAAATTTTAAAGGTGACTGTCTGAGCTCAAGGTGGTAATGTAAGTCTTTGATCCCAGCACTCAGAAGGCAAGAGGATCTCTGTAGTTTGAAGACACCCTGGACTACAGAGCAAGGTCCTGGACAGCCAGGATTAAAGACCCTATCTCAAAAAAACAAACAAAAAAATGACTGCATGAAGAAACAATAAATACTTCACAAAAAATGTTTCAACCAGTTTGAGAGAGTAAGGCTTTTGTAAAACTTGGTATGTAGCCGAGGATGACCTTGAACTTGGGTCCTGAGGCCTGTACCTCCCCAAGCACAAACTACCTTACAGTTTCTCTGGTGCTGAGGATAAAGCCCAGAGCTTCTTCATGCATATTAGACAATCACTCTAGTAACAACTATTATCTTCCATCTTTCAAAATGCTTTAACACTATTTTCAGACTGGGTGGTGGTAGCGCACACCTTTAATTCCAACATTCTGGATGCAGAGGCAGGAGGATCTCTATGAGTTCGAGGCCAGCCTGATCTACAAAACTAAACAAACAAAAAAAAAACCAACACACTATTTTCAGAAGTAATTGTAATCTCAGAATTTTGAGGAGGCTGAGGCAAGAGTAAAACAAGTTCAAAATCAGCCTGAGCTACAGAATGAGACCTTACTTTAAGAAAAACAAGCACTGAGCAGT